ATGGGGAAAATATGCTTTATGAGATTCTCATGTATATATAACCATATATATATATATATATATATATATGTATATATATATATATATTAAATTCTTTTACTTAATTTGTGCTACTGAAGATTTATTTTTTGTCAACGCAAACAAAATCTTAACAGAAACCTTCTGTTCTTAGTCTCACGATAACAAAATAGTTTCTTCTTCTAGTCAAAGCTACCGGTGGTGAGATTCGAAAAACAGATGATAACCTTCAACAGTTATGAACATATATCTCCTTTTCGTATTTATCAGCGCAGCATGTAAGTATAAACTCAACGTTATTAAAAATATTAAGTAAACTCTTTTTTCACAATGACAATTAAGCATCAATTAAAACATTATCGATTATTGATTATAGCTAACAGTAATCAAATAGTGTAATCGCGATCAAATTTTATTATAATATCTTATTAATATTGTAATCGCAATTGCGTGAATTTATAAGCAAACGGGTGATTACGACAAATAGTAATCACGTAATCATAAGACACAATTACAAATACTATATTGATATATTTGTCATGGTGTTTTAAGATTTCTGTCAGAAAGCAGTTGTTTCAACACAAAATAGAATAAATTTATAGAATAGAATAATAGAAATATAAAATAGAATAGAATAATAGAAATATAAAATAGAATAGAATAATAAAAATATAAAACAGAATAGAATAAATAAAATAGAATAGAATAATAACAATATAAAATAGAATAGAATAAATAAAATAGAATGGAATAATATTTTATTGCAAAGTATAGAATAAACAACAGAATTTTATCTTACAGTTAGTTTCCTCTCATTAAAGTAAACCCCTTTTTGTACAATCACCTTTAATTGGTTAGCTTTCACCAAATTTTGGATCCAATATTATTCCAATTGCATTGAATCGCCTCACACAGACGATTTCAGTTTATAACATTTCTGTCTCTGCTGCACTTATCCAACTGATTCATCTAGCACTGTTTTAAGAATCATTGCAGTAGTGCATTTATTTATGGCAAATGTCATTAATAAACTGGTAAAACCACGAAACTGAGAGGGCACTGAGAGAGCTATACTCCGTTGCAAATTTAGAAAAGACCATTACGGTATAGAATAAGTAATCAAAATTTTATTGCTTTAAATTTTAATAAATGTAACGCATTTTTATTTATATATATCGTTAAATAAAATTCCATTCGGAATAGATAGCTATTCGCAATATTTTTGCACCTTTTTTGAAAGGTGTAAAGCTACCAAATAGTACTCTTTCATCAAAAGCTTGTTAAGAACAAAGAAAAAAAAATTTAGAAAACGAAAATGAAAATTTTAATCTGAAATCAAAGATGGCGAGACAAGAAAAGAGACCTATGAAAAAGCAAAACTAATAAATCGGAATAATCTAAAACTTGTTTAATAGTTTCAAATTTTCCTTGAAAATTGTCTTCTTTAATGAAACCTTCCCATGATAATTGTTTTCCAAATGCACGGAACACAATAGGAAATATTCCTCCGCGACAAGACACAGGTCGAAGCAAATTTATCCCTTAAGTTCATAAGTTAAAAAGTCTTTTAATCAGATAAATATCAATTAGATGCGTGCATAACATTAACATTATTTGCATTTTAATTAAACAACAGAATTGGACGCCATGTTAGCTAAGGGGATAGAAAGTTCGCCCCCTATTGAGGTGACCCGGATTTGAATCCCAGCGATGGCTGGTCGATACGAATTCCGCACCCGACTTACACTGACCTCAATGCTGACGCAAAATATCCTCAGTGGTAAAGCATCATGGGTTAGAGTTTCCTTGTCGTTAGGCTAACCATGGAAGGTGTTCGTGGTTTTCCTCTCCATGTAACGCAAACGAGGGTTTGTTCCACCAAAACGTACTCCGCGAAGGCGAATTTCTCCCAATACTTGATCCAGGAGTTCCCTTGTCTTCTGTATTAGGTTCAAAATTACAAGGTTACGGAGTTGAACACTGGTAGTTGTAAGCTCAAAATGGGGTCGACTGTTCAACGTCGGTTATGAAATAAAACAACAGAATATGTATATTTCTATTTATTTTATATATTATTATGTTATATATATACTATTATACTAGAACATTATACTAGAATAATATATATTTCAATTACATTATTCTAGAATCTATATATTTCAATATATTTCAGGGGCGGGTCATCCGATGCAAAACCCCGATTTGTTCCAAGGGGATATACTTGGAATAGATAGCATAAAGGTAAGGATTTATACAAATTTTAAATTTAACAAAGTCTCTAAAAGACTGTGTGTTATATTGAGGTAAAATATGATAGAGGAAATATCAATTGGCAAATATAATTCCCCAAGTTATTTTCAAAAGATGATACCTAGGATCAAGTCAAAGCTTTGATAGAATTGATTAATAAAAAATAATTAAAAGCACATTTTTTTAAATGAAATATTCTATTCAGTTTGGAGCTTGCAACTAAAGATGAAATCAATTGATTATGCCTAACCATGTGATTTAAATCAGATTTAATTGGATACCTGTAAGCGACGTTACGTGTGTATCGAGTCTAATTGGTTTCTGAATCGACAAATGCCTACAATGACGTCACTTTTATGTATCCATTTGATTGTTTGTTTGTTTTTTTTTCGAACAATTACTATTTTGGAATTTTTATATAATTTTTTTAACATTATTTTATTTCTCAAGATAGCTACAGTTCTGAATATATCAGTTTTTTTTTATTTCAGGGATCTGCATTTAATTATGCCATCAAAAGAATTTTTTTCTGAAAACTATGGCAGGAAGGAGGCGTCTACCACCAATAGATACAATTCTTAAGACCATAGTATAGACCCAATAATTGGGCAGAAAAGCGCTTCAAAGTTCGGACCTCTTTAGTGTTAATTTTACTTTTTGCGTATCTCTCTATATCTCAAGAACTTTTCAATAGAACTGAAAAAGTCTTGCACACAATTATAAAACTCGTTTATCCAAAGATAATGTCATGCAAAAAAGAAGTTTTATCAAATATTTATTATTTTTTATTATTTTATTTAATAATAGTCGAAAAGAAATTTGCATTATGAGATACACTATTTTTTACATCATTTTAATGAATATAATTTTACATGGCAAAATACAAAATTTGAGCAAAGTCGGCAGAATAACTCCAGAGAAACCAAATTTTAAGTATCTGGCTTTCTTGAAATTTAATTTCTCTGGAACTATTCGACCGATTTCGCTCAAATTTTGTATTACATCCCAAAACATTACATTCGTTAAAAAAAATTTTAAACCTTACAATTCAAAACTTTTTCGACCATAGTAATAAATAATAAATATTAACTCAAAGTTGTTGTTTTTTGCATGGAATTATCTTTGGATAAACGAATTTTATAAGTGTGTACAAACAATTTTCAATTCGCTTAAAAAGTCATCTATATATAGTGAATAACACAAAAAGTAAAATTAATATTAAGGGGTCCTTACTTTGGAGTCTTCTGACCAAACTCTTGGGACCATGTTTCCCATATCACGACTACCCCATATTTTGGGGGTAAAAAATCATTAGTCAGAAAGGAATAACAAAATGTATCGATTTCATTATTAGGAAGATTTAATATCGTTTTAAGTTAGAAGGGGTATATTTTATTCTATAAGAAATACCAAACGATTTAATAATTTCTTATGAGTAATTTAATCATATTTTTCAGAATAGTAATGGGATTCCTATAGAATTTATAAAATGGCTTGGTGGAAAAATTCCTTACAATATCTACAGACAAAAAATTCGATTAAGAAAAATACCAAACGATTTATTAACTTCTTTTATCAGTTATTTATTCGTATTTTTCAGGATCGCAATGGGATTCCGATAGAATCTATGAGATGGCCTGGTGGAAAAATTCCTTACAAAATCGACAGTGCATTATGTAAGAGAACCTTCAATTAGTTTCTTCATTTAATTCAATTAAATCTTCTTAATAATAATTAATTAAGAATATTTTAAAATATCTCAGAGGTATTCATTAGTTTCATTAGTTACATACCATCATATTTATATAATTTTTTATTCATGTATTCAGGACAGATAAAAAAAAATCCATTTGTGCACAATTTTAATGTATCCTCATTATATTCTTTCATAGGGAAATTGGAAGCCAACATAGAAAAAGCCATGAAACATATTTCCAGTCGAACCTGTATAACATTTGTGAAGAGGAAAGATGAAGTTGATTATATTAATATTTTTAAAGGGGACGGGTAAGCATAAAAATTATAAAGATTTAGCGATTCTTCATTCTGGCTCTAATTCAAATAAGTTATTATTTTGAAATGTTATGAAAAAAAAATATAAAAAAATAGGAATAACAGAAGTTTCTTTTCACAAAGCTATGAAGAATTCGATTTTAAGATTAACCAATTGATATGAAATAATAAGAAGCTGTAATAATGTCTTCGTTACTTAATTGCCTTGTTACAGCTATCTGACTCATCTTACATATCTTTACATTGATTCTTATTTATGGAAAAAATTTATCTCTTTTTCGTCTAACATTACCTCTAAATAAAGTTTTTCGCCTTGTAAGTGCGTATAAAATTTTAAAGTAAGGAAAACGTGGAACTCTAACAATAATGAAAAAATATTCTTATAATTATATATGTTCTGATCAATGTGAATATAGTCGGTTATTATTAATACTAACCAGTCGATAATAATAATAATAACCAAATAAGCCGGTTCAAGTGAATAATTTAAGCGAATTTATCACACTAACCGGTTATTATTAATAATAGGCTATAAGTTTGCTCAATGTTATTCCCTCGCTTTTTTATTGGTGATACTTCCGTATCGTGATCTGCCACGCCAAATACAATCGCCAAAGCGCAAAATTAATTTCAAACTAAAAACATTTTTTAAAATAACGGTAGATGTTTGTTGTAGAGTTGTCTACGAGTTATACCCTTCGAATGGGTCCCTTTATGGGAAATTTTTTTTCGTTCCTCGCTGGCCGCTGCCCGGAAGTTGCCAAGACTTGGAGATTATTCTGCCACAGATCACAATACGGAAAGAAATCTCCCCATTTTACTTCTCCCTTTGACCAAAAGAAGCGGTTATAGTTAATTTTGACCGGTTAGTATTAATAATAACCGGATTTATCACTTGAACCGTAACACATATACAAAGAGGCACACCCGTGTCCCAAAGATATATAAACAGTTTAATCACATTGATCAAACTTCATTGGTTATTACTTATAATAACCGGTTTAAGTGAATAACTTGTAATATTTCTCACTTTGACCAAAAGAAATTATTATGAATATTGACCGGTTAGTGTTAATAATAACCGTAATTATTACGTTAACCGTAACATAAATAATAATCATGATTTTAAAAAAAATAGACTGTCACTAGCTAATGTTTTTTTGTAAACTGCTTTAAAATATGTGCACACTTGAATTTTTAAAGCATACACATACTTCATATAAAAATCAACACATACCAGAAATTATGTGTTTGAACTATACATAATGTAATATAATTTTTATTATATACTTAATTTAAATGCAATATAAATATAATTTTTTATATCATAAAACGACATACCTATTTTATGATACCGTATCATACACTGTAAAAATTCCGAATCTAATTACGGTAAAAAATACCGGCACTCAGAGTAACGGTGCTTTTTACAGTAAAATTTTACGGAACAAAAAACATGCCGTAATTTTTACAGTAATATTAACTGCAATAGCACTGAATCACTGTGATTAATTATATATTAGTTTACAAATTACGATATAAAATTTTAAGATAAAAATGGATTTTCAGTAAAAAAGAGTTACGGATGATGCACCTAGAGAGCCAGTATTTTTTACCGTAAGTTGATCCCAATATTTTTACAGTACGGTATCATTAAATGGTTGTGTTATTTTATGATACTACATTGATTCTTAACTATAAAAATTACATTTATATATTTATATTATATTTAAATTATGTATATGATTAACAACAAGCTTAGATTAATTATTTTAGTTTTCTAAAAAGTGTATCTTAATACATCTCTTCCAATAAGTTCTTCAATAACACAGGTGCTATTCTTATTGGGGCAAAACTGGTGGCATGCAGCCTGTATCTTTAGGAAGAGGTTGTGATCCAATAGGTACCATTGTCCATGAATTAAACCATGCTATCGGTTTTGCACATGAGCAAAACAGATCAGATAGAGACGAATATATAACCATATTCTGGGAGAACATTGCACCGGGTAAGTACTCTAACTGATAAAATTTAATCTTTTGTAAAAAATCAAATTTACCAATTTTAACCTAAAAACAGACTGGGATAGCCTGGTTGGTAGGGTACTAGACTCACGATCGTGAGAACGGGAGTTCGAATTAAGCCGGCTGAAGACTCCCTGTGTAGTAAATGGTGAGTGGTGCACGTTAATCAGTCGGGTAACAAAGTTCTTCATGTTCCTAAAGCAAATTATACCACTGGAGGTATATCAAAATGACGATCTGTGAATGAATGAATGGATATATGAATAGGTTCTCCCTATAAACAGGTGTGACGTACGGGTGTGTCAGAAGTCGAATTCTTGGTCATAGATGGCGCCACTGGAATGCAAAATCAATCGCACCCCCAGTGCCTTATTGGCCTTGGACAACAACAACATCATAAAAACAATATTATGAAACATTTTCGTAATAATTCATCTTGGTACATAGTGAAAATTGTTTTTTTTTCATGTTATTGAAGAATAAATATCAGTTCGATTCAAAAGGTTGGTGGAGAACATAATTAAAATTACGTAAAGTAAATTATAAGTATATTGGAGGTACAGAGTTTAATTATCCGTAAGGTGTAAGTTATTAAAAGAAAATGCCCATGCTTATGCATGGTAACAGTAACAATAGAAAAAATTGATAAATGTTCAGTTAATCAGTAGTTTGTTATAAACACTTTGAAGCGGGGTGATGCCCTTCGAACAAAATCGTCGTTGTGTTCGTCGATACTGTCTTCGCATCGTTCATAAATCACTGCCCATGGCCAAAGTCCCATTAATATGGCTCTGAATTTGACTTAACAATCAAACCAAGCCAAAAGCCGAATCGTTTATCTACCTAAGCACTTTCCTAATCTGCCTCGGTCATGTTGGGGTTTAAAGCAGCCTCGTTTCTATTACAAGCATAGTGGTAGAACGTGTCACAGGCAATTCATACTAATCATTTATAAATCGTTCTAGAAAATACGGGTGAGCTTAGCACTAGCTTCATTCTTCACAAGCCTCCGCTGTGACTAAATTTACTAACTCATCACATAAACACTAAATATAATGTTTGAAAAAGTTCATAAATGCATTAAAAAAAATGAATTTTTTTTATAAAAAAAAAAATGTGTTAAACTCTAAAACGCTTGGCAAAGGGGCATTTGGAGAATTTTAGCTCAGCTTTAAGAGAAGTCAGTAGGGCATATAAAAACAATACTAAAACTTGCCTTTTTCGATGTATCTTTTTTTCAGCATTGAAGCAAGATATCGCTTCAGTTTTTTTCACAGAATATTTACATATATATGTTTTAAAAGTAATGACTGTTAATATGCATCTTTGGCAGAATTTTTTTTGTTAAATTATGAATTGAGAACTTTTAGTTTTTTAAAAAGCTTCATCATTTTGGAGGAAAACTCTTTCATAACTCAAAAAGTATTCCTGGTAATTTTAAAACATTATCACAGCATACAACTGATATAATCTCATATGTACCCTAAAAATTTCAAAGCACTATCACAAGTAGTTTTTTTTTTTTTTTTTTTTTTTTTTTTTTTTTTTTTTTTTTTTTTTTTTTTTTTTTTNTTTTTTTTTTTTTTTTTTTTGAAAAGGCGCAAAATGTACTGGCTTCAAAAATAAACCAGCCTTTCCCTGTCGCGTATCTATCAGGAACATATTACTTTCTGAAAAATTTATTCCAGTCTATAATTGAAACAAATTTTCTTTAACAATTTTCAGACTCCTATCTGCACTTTTTTTTTTTTCTTTTCTCCAAGCTTTGGACATGTACCTAGGTCATTATGGACCCTTTACCATATAGCCCAAAGCTTGGCTACTGGTCCGGCTCCACTCCAGCCTAGGAACGAGCCCAGTCAGCAAGAATTTATTGAAAGCAAAAATATTTACAAACTTCTAAATATAATTTTGGCATAATTTTACAAAGTGGTAAGAATGAATAAAATAGATAGAGTTGTTGACATTTTACAATTTAGATATGTTTAACTAAGCAAATATCCAGGAATTCCAATTTCTTTTTGAATGTTTATGAGATAAATTTTTTACGGTACTGTAATAGTTTAATAATTTTGTTTCTTTTTCTTTTTTTTTTAAGTAAATTTAGTTAAGGTTAATGTTCCAAAAGTACAATGAGGAATTCATAGATATCCGTGAAGTTAGAAGAGTTAGAAAATAATCTGCACTCCATGAGCGTCTTCAATCTGATACAGTGCCGTTCCTGGCGGGTATGCAGCGAATGCCCCGCACGCAGGCGCCTATTTTAAGGGGCGCCAAATTCAACTATTCGAAAAAAATCAAATTATAGCAAATTATTAAAAATAAAATTATAGCAAAGCTGTAAACTTTGATTTCAGGAAGAAACAATAAACTAATATAAGAAGTAACTTCTACACTTTGCTTCTAGATTTAGATTTTTTGTTAATTTCCGAATGGACGTGTTTTATTTATGACCTATATTGTACGTTAATCGTCTATTTTATTTGATGTCGAAAATAAATTTTTTGTCATATTTTTTCGTTGTTTTATTTTATTACGCCCATTTTCATAATCAAACACTTACACTAAAGTGACTTTAGTCTATAAGGAAACTATTCAGTTTAAACCTCAAACTAAAAATGATTATGAAAATTGACCTTATCATCAAAATTTAAGCATAGTATATAGGGGCGCACAAAATTATTCTTGCACGCAGGCGTTCGCCACCCCAGGAACGGCACTGATCTGATATATTACCGTCGTTGAACAGCCGACCCAATTTTTTGGATTTACGACTACTAATGTTCAACTCCGTAACCTTGTAATTTTGAACCCAATCCAGAAGTCAAGGGGAATCCTGTATCAAGTATTGGAAGAACTTTGCTTTCGTGGAGGACTTTTTGATGGAACTAACCCCCATTCGTGTTACTTGGAGAAGAAAAGCACGAAAAATTCCCACGATTATCCTGATGGCAAGGAAACTCTTACCCATGATTCGTCTAGCACTAAGGATGTTTTACGTCAGCACTGTGGTTGGTACGAGCCGAATGTGGTATTCGTATCGACCAGCCATCGCTAAGATTCGAACCCTATCGAAAGGCGAACGCTCTATCCCCTGAGCCAACACGGATCTGATGATCATAAGTGAACTTAGCGCGTCTACGCAACAAATTTAAACTTTTCATACAACTTGAAACAGTGAAATACGGTTTTGAAAATTCGCTCTTAACTCCGTTAAAACAGTATTTTATTATGATTTGTAATACAAATTATATCATATATGTTGTAATTTAAACTTAGGTGCGGAGGACCAGTTTGAAAAATTCCAACCAAGTCAAGAAAAGATCTTCAACAAATTTGATTACAACTCTATAATGCTATATGGGGAAAGTGCTTTTTCTGCAAATGGATATGAAATTACCATGAAAGCCAAGAAGAAGGGTGTCAAATTAATAGAGCCTTATGACAAAGGAAATCTCAGTCCCAGTGACGCATTTCGTATAAACAAACTGTATGAATGTACATAAAAATAAAGTTTATTTTTAATGTATTCATGCTTTTTTTTAACATTTGAAAGTTTCATAAATCGCAATCCGTAAGTGTTCTTCTGTTAAAGTGATGATTGCAAAAAAAAAATTTGACAATGCCCACCTGGAGAATGACCTTTCGTCATACAGGCATCTGAAGGGCAGATTTATTGGCCAGAATTTCAGGGGCACCCTATAAGGGGGGCCAACGTTATTCCCACAGTAAGGACAAATAGCACAGAGAAGGAAAGAATATCTATGCCTTGCCTGGGATTCAAACCCAGAACCTTTGATGTAAGGCCAGTTCCCTGACCCTTACACAGGCTGGTCGGCAGTGATTACGAAACAACCAGCCGCATTTTCAATTTTATGAGTATTTGCTCTCTAAATTCTCGTTGTTTATATATTCAGAATTATATATAGATTTTGCATTCTGCCCCTCAAAACATTACATTCCTTAAAATGATGCAAAAATTGTATACCTTACATTTTTTCATGCCATTTTTTACTAATTTGACTCAATGAAAAGAATATCATTGGTATGTTCTTAGAAAATTCTTCAAAGTATATGTTTTTTCAAGATATAAACTAAAAAGGAAAAAAAATTAAGATATACAAATAAATTTGAAAGATCTTATTTAGGCACATATGCATTATTGCTAGTGCAAGTATTTCCTTTCGTAAAAACTATTTAATATAAGCTATGAGGAGGTTTTCCAAATTAATTAAATGCGGCTAATTGTTTTTCGTTTTAAATATCTTTTTTTTTTTACGGCAGGCACTGAACTTTCGTTTCTCATCACTGAAGATGCCGGAAGTGCTGCTCATTTAACGTTCCCTTTGGGCACCTATGAACCTAAGTCACGGAGGCGAGCAACATTACCCACGCTACAGATACCAGTTTATAGAGGCCAGAATCACACAATAGAGAACAACAGAGAGAGAGAGAAACATCAATGCCCTGAGCGGGATTCGAACCCACAACCATTGGCTTCACAGTCACTGCTCCGCCACCTGGCCAACTCCTTTTAACTATTGAATTGAATAAAATAAATGGTATCCTACACATTCTCAAAATAATTTCGTGGAAAGCTGTCCATAGCATTTTTCATCCATAGATTATTCAGTTATAGAAAAAGATTAGGGATCATATACTGTGATTTATTTACACAAAGCAAAACCTGGAGTTTGAATAGGTGTCATTATTACTGAAATGCAATGAAATTCTTAGGCAAAGACGAATGAACAACAAAGAAAACTTAAGGCTAATTTTGGGAACCTTTAAGGTGCGAGAAAAATGGGAACATAAGCTGTGATCACTTGATTCGTAAAACCCTTAAATGCATTACTTTCAAAATTTTTGTCACCATATAAATGAAAGAACACTGCGTACAACAGTAACATTTGATTGAATCAAAATTGATTATTGTGCAGTAAGATAATTTAAATGAAATATATATATTTAAAAATTTCAACAAAACAAGCCCTTCTTGTTGATTTAAAATAAGCACTGTTTTTCCTCTCAGAAACATTAATACACATTATCAGAAAAATATATTTATTGTATATTCAACAACATATGTTGTAAAATAAAAGAAATTGCATAGATTAACAATTGCTTTGTTCTCTCAGAAGCATTTATCAAACATTAACAACAAAATAAAGTTACTGTATATTCAATAATGTTTGATACAAAATTTAAAAAAAATGCATATATTAACACAGGCTTTGCCATTTTAGCAACATATATTCATCAAACATTATCAGAAATATATATATATTGTATACTCAAAAATATTTGTTGCAAAATTGCACAGATTAACAATGACTTTGATCTCCCACAAACATTTATTAAATATTATCAGAAAAATATATTTATTGTATATTCAATAATGTTTGATACAAAATTTTAAAAAAAAGCATATATTAACACAGGCTTTGCCATTTTAGCAACATATATTCATCAAACATTATCAGAAATATATATATATTGTATACTCAAAAATATTTGTTGAAAATTGCACAAATTAACAATGACTTTGTTCTCCCACAAACATTTATTAAATACTATCAGAAAAATATATTTATTGCATATTCAATAATATTTGTGGTAAAATAAAAAAATTGCATACATTAACACACACTTTCTCTCAGATACAGTATCGGCACATTCAAAATATAAACATAACTAAAGTTTAAAGTGGATCTTAGCAATAATTCTGATTCAACAAAATGCAGGGTTAAATTAGAGTAATTTTTTAGCCCATTTAACAAGAAACCTGTAATTTTCAGTAAAATTATTTGCTTCTCAGTATTTGCTTGTGAAAGCTTCACTCTCTTTAAAAAAGTTTAAAGACACACACTTTGATTAAAAAATTTGACTATATAAAGAATAATGTGTGTAATTATTATCAGGAATTACGTTGTAACACAGTGAAAATGAATTATGTGTGGTAATGACATAATAGATCGCTTGATGCTCGTGCATATTTTGTGAATATCATGTGTCTGATATTCATTTAATCCAAAAACGTAAAAATGGGTTTATGTGATTTGGGAAGAGTTGTTTTTCAAATACATCTCCTATGGTTTCGGCTTTTTCCCTATCGGAAAAAGCAAGATCGTCACATTGAGGCTTGTTAAGGGGACGGGATAACGAGGAGTAGTTTTTAATGAAAATAGCCTTTCAGAGAGAGCAACCATCTACATTAAGGAAATTGTTATGGTTTTCCCAGTGTTGATTTCTAATCTCAGATTTTAGTGTTTTATCGAAGTTAAGGTATGCAAATTTGTCACAAAGTTTACCAGACTTTTGCCACATATGTCAGAGGAAATTCCTATGTTTAATCTTATCTTTAATATCTCTGTTAAGGAACGAGGATTTATTGTTAATTTTAACTTCAGAGGATGTTTCTTTGAAGGTATTATGAACATAGTTGGTAAGGTTGATAATTGATTTATCTAATGAGTTTTGGGGGGGGGGAATAATTAAAAGAGGGCGAGTGGTTTGATTAAGAGTTTGTTTATAGTAATCACAGTTGGGGACAAGGGAGTGTGTTAAGTTGCTACCTTTGATCAGAGGATTAAAAGTGGCAAAAACAGGGTTATGATCACTAGTCATTTCTTGTATTGAAGAGGCCTTGCAGTCATATAGGAAATTTTTAATAAGAAAGAAATTGAGGAAAGAGTAAGTAGATTTGATATGGCCTTGACGGCGTGCTGGTGTGCTTAGTCTAATATTTAAATTGTTGATACGGTTCTGGAGTGTAAGTCCTGAAAGTGTTGGCTCTGTTACAGTTTCAGGCGGTATGATGGGCGTTAAAATCAATTTCAAAGAAAAGGAGGGAGGTCGCTGACAGAGAATTGTTGTTGGGGAAGGGAGGTTGAGTTTGGTAAATACAGGCTGTAACAGGTGTATAACTGGGGTGATAGGGGAGTTTGTAAGGGTTATTATGTCAGTTCGATGTGTATGAGATTGATGATAGTCATTCCTTTGGGGGTAACCAAGATTTTGATAGTTTTTGAAATGAAGGGTATTGAAATTTGATTGGTAAAACTGGTTAGATTTAGTTCTATTTATTGAGGGTTTAGGGAAGTTAGTGCAGCTACGGTAGTAATGGGTGCTTAATCCCACTTAGGTTCATTAACTCTGCTTGAAAAAAGACAATTAGCAGTAAGGTGGTCCCCACTGCATTTAACGTTTTTGGGAGGTATCTGGCAATTAGAGCTAGAAAGCCTCCAAAGTTGGCAGCAATGGCATTGGTAGATGACAGAGTTAGGTTTAAATTCTTCAAATTTAACTTGAAAAAATCCTAGTTCATTTATACTATATAGTTGATTTGCATTAGGAGTATTTTCCATTTTAATAAGAAAGGGAGAAGCTGTCTATCTCCTTTAGGGTTGCACATTTGGGTAACTTCTCTTGGCATGAAGTTAATTTTATTGAGATAGAAATTACTTTTGGGGGTCGGTATTGATAGGTAGGCCCCTAAGTACTCACATGTTCCTTTGAAAACATATGTCTTAAGCATAAAAATTTTCAGAGCTTCATCAGAACTACAAAGATCCGGAAAAAAAACACCAAATTGAAAACAGCAATTTTGCTTCGTACCGATGCTCATTCATTAATATTCATTCATGATTTATATTATGAATAAAATAAAGATAAACATAGACAAATATAATAGAATTTTCGTAACAAGAGTAAACAAATCAAAATAAAATATGCTACATTTTAACAAGTGAAAATAAGTTGTTCTTTCTTTCAAGAGTTAGAAAAATAAGTTCTGTTATCACAACAAGAGGAGTTACTAGGTCAGACCAAGGTGTAATATTTTTCTCAAGGTGCTGGGGCCAGACCACAAACCCCTGCAAGAGACACACAATTAGAAGAATCTTCTTTACTTTATTAAGTAATTTACACTAACGAGTTATTATTTTAAGTATCAATAAAATTATGCAATGAATCACTAACTGAAAAATCAATAGAAATATATAATGAGACAGAATTTAGGACCTTAAATGATTGAGACACCATGAAATACACTTAATTTGCAGACAAGCTTAAGGTGGGAAATGAACTATGCAAAAACTAGAATTTATCTTCTTATGTTTTAATATCACACATTTCCCTTTATTTTTTTATTTCTAATATAATAAGTATAAAATAATAAGTATATTTCATACTGTTATAATCTCACATAAAAAATTTCTGTTCAATATATAGATTTTTAATGTAAAAATAATTTCTTCTGAATTTATATAAACAAAAGACTTAATTTATTTGGATGGCATTAAATAAATAAATACCTGCAAATAATTAAGTTTTAATTAGGAGGGAATAAATTCTAATAAAAAGTAGCTTTAAGTGAAACAGAGCTTCTCCCCAATAAATATAGGTTCTTTGTTTTCAATGAGATCCAGATTTAGAAGAAAATCCAAGAAGGAATAAATGAATGAAAGTTATAACTTAAGAAATTAGTTATGATTAAAGTGAAATATTAAAACATTAAGAATACAAAGAATAAATAATACTTGGAATTTAAAATAGAATTTCAAATAAATTGATTGGCTTGCATATTAGCTAGTGACTGACAATGAGTTGACGATTCAGTTCACTTTGTGCAGCTGTTTTTCCTTCCTTTTAATAAAATGGAAACTTTTAGACCTGAAAAATTACTAAATACGGCAAAAATACTGAAAAAATTATTTTCCTTTGTTTAACAGCAGCATGGATTGTTTTGGACCTTTTAAGTACATCTTCAGAAAAATATCATTTTTATTAATATTTCCTTTATTTTTTCAATTGAGTACTAATTATTTTTAAATTAATTATTTTTTTTTCTTAGAGTTTGACCACAGCGTTTTGATGAAGTTTTTTCAAAACTTTCTTTCTACAGACAAAATATTTATTTGGTACAGTGGGGATCACTAAACTATTAATGTCAGTGATGCTTAACTAATTTATGTACTATTTGTGTTGAGATTCCCCTTGCATATGTGTCGAATATAGGCAAAGCATCAGCCAGTCGCGGGAGATACACAAAGGTCAAAGAAGGTTGAATGACAGGTTTGCTCTTCTCAAACAAACTGGCACCCATTACATCCATCTAATCACCACTGAATCAACTTCCCAATGACAGCATTTAACCAAGCTAATATAGATGCTGTTGTTAATTTACGTCGCAGTAGAGCTACACAATGGGCTATTGGCGACGGTCTGGGAAACATCCCGGAGGTCTGGGAAACATCCCCATGCCATCACAATTTTGATCCTCTGCGGAGGGGATGGCACCCCCGCTTCGGTAGCTCGACGACCTGCGCGAAGTCGAGCAATTTACGGTAGCACAGTTTAACAAGGACCAATACCGCACACCCTCGGTCCCTACGCAGACTGATCCAAGTGGTCACCCACCCGCACACTGACCGTAGCCAGTGATGCTTGACTTCGGTGATCTGCTGGGAACCGTGTCTTAATGATCAGTCCACTGCGGGACTCATCCGATGCAAAACCCCGATTTGTTCCAAGGGGATATATTTGGAATAAATAGCATAAAGGCAAGGACTTATGCAAATTTTAAATTTAACAAAGTCTCTCCATGTCTGTGTGTTATATTGAGATAAAATATGATAGAGGAAATATCAATTAATAAATATAATTCCCCAAGTTATTTTCAAAAGATGATATCTATGATCAGGTTAACGCTTTGATAGAATTGATTAATAAAAAATAGTTATAAGCACATTTTTTTTTTGTTGAAAGTTTTCTTTTGTAGTCCGACAGTCTTCTCATTTTTTTTCCTATTAGGTTCCAAATATAATCAGTTTTATTTCATTGGGCTAAAAGTTTGAAAGATTAATGACTTAATTGGAAATGTATAAACATGGCTGAAACAAAAAAGAAAATGCTTACTTTAACATGAAGTTCCAGTAAATAATTGGCAACACTTCCTTTTTAATGAAGTAAAAGATGTAGCGCTCTTTTCCCTGATCAATGGGTAGAGTTTCTTCAGGTTGCAATTCATAATTAAATTCTGCCATCACTCCCTTATTATATCCAGTCACGAGGGGACAAGAAGTATATCCAGAATACTGAAAAAGATTTCTGTATTTTACACAATAATAACAAATATATTATCAGATACTGTTCTCAAAACATAGAAACACTAAAGGATATATTCTTCAGTTTAAGGATCGAAAAATGTCATGGATTGAATTAAATAAACAGACAAATCACTGAAAACAATTTCGAATTTGGTTTGGAATTATAATAATATAAAAGATAGAAATCACTCTTATAAATCCAGAATTAGTTTTGCTGTGATCCTGAAACTTAGAGCTTGCTGAGCATAATTTATCCCTGAATCTTGAAATAACTAAGGAATTTTAATCAGTCCATTTGGGACAGGTAAGCAAAAAACAATTTTTTGCTTCGAATTAATATTTAGCATTGTTACAAATTACACTGAACTGACTGAAAAGAGGAGGAGAGGGAAAGGAGAAGAGCCAAAGGCATGAAACCGGTTTCTCCCCGTATTGGAGCGTTGCGATCACTAACCAATATCATTTTTATACCAATATCACCTGCTTTTATACTTGTTTAGGATAATGCATAATATGCTGATGAATAATAATTTATGAATCAGAATTTGAAATTAAAGGTGGTCTGTTGAAGCGTGACCAATAAAATTTGACTCAGACCACCAAAATATAATCCAGGAACTAATGTAAAGAGATGGTTTGCTGAATTGACATTTTGATTTTCAACATCTGACTTATTGTTGCAAAATAGCATATTTCATCATAGTTATGATTAGGACTGGGAGATATTAGAAATTATATATCGTGATATATCGTCAGTTTTGCATCGCGATATAGCGATGTATCGCTTAAATTTTCAAAAAAGATTCATTTACTTTAAGGCACAGAAAGTCAGATTTCTATCAAGACTTCATACGCATATTGATTTAAATCAATTTATAAATTTGAAAATATATATGTTTTGCTAAAGAAAGATATTAAATAAATTGACTAAGATGTACAAATCTTACTTAAAATATTTATTGAAAAAATGTGTGTAGATACAGAATGAAATATTTGCACTTCTTTATCGTTTATAAGGTATAAGCAGTCTTAATTTAAGTTAACCCCTAAAACACCCTTAATGAAAAAAAATATTGTTATTAAACAAAAGCTGATTTTAAAATTTCAAAATATATTTTAATTAAAATAAAAGTTAGATTGACTAAAAGCCGAAGTTTAAAATTAAAAATGTTCGAATTTTAAACTAAAAAGTAAACATAAGATTTGTAATAATTTCTTAAAATTTTCGTTCTCTGAAAGATTTCTCAGTTTAAAAATAAAAAGGGAATTTTATAAAGATATCTAGCTGAAATTATTGAAAGAAAATTTAAAAAATTAAAAAAAAAGTTTGTTAAGAAATTCATTATACACTTAAAACAAAGTGTTAAAAAAATTTTTTTTTTTTTAAAAAAAGAAACTTTTTTTAACAAATCAATATTTGCTTGTACTATTATGCGTAAATAATTACAGAATTATTAAGTTCGATCGTAATGTTCAAATTCTTAATGAAGAAGTAAACACAAGTTTTGTTATATTTTCTAAAAATGATCACGCAAATAACAAAAGATTTCTTAGTTTAAAAATAAAAAAATAAATAAAAGTGAAATTTATCAATATATTTACCTAACAGCATAGGAACAAAATTTAAAAAATAAGTTCGTTAAAAAATTATTTGTATGCTTAAAACAAAGAGCTAAATAAATTTTAGAAAAAAAATGCTTCTTAAACACTATTTTTATTATTATTTCATATAAATAATTAAATTAAATTAAATAATGACCGAATTATGAACGAAAAACAAAGTAAGGCAAAGTTTCTTAATTAAATTCTTAAAAATAAAAACAAAAGAATTGTGATATTCGGTAATATATTTAGCTAATTAACTAATAATATAAAACGAAAATTAAAAAAAAATAATGATTTTACTCTCTAATAAAACGAAGTAGTAATTTATTAAAAAAAAAAAAGAAATGAATAAAATTCGCAAACTTTTCAAATTCTTTTGAACAAATAAAGTTTATTGACTTATGTCCAAAAAATAAGTTTTGTTTTAACTTTATTTCTAAAAATAAAAACAACTCAAGATTTATAAATTTAAAATCAGTAATAGAAGCCCATTAAATTATTAGAAGTTTTATCCGAAAGGTTTTTAATAAATTAAAAGAAAGTAAAAAAATAACCTAACAAATTTATTTACTTTGTAATTTAATTCCTTATGGGTGCCTTAAATTAGATTTCCGATAATTTTCACATTTAAAAATATAAAAAAAGTTTTGTCAGAAAATAAATAAAAAACTTACCTAATTAATGAAGAAACTTTTCTTTATAAATTCTTTTCAATAATAGATTGCGTTCAGAACAAGGTTACGACGGCGATCACGAAGTTAATCCCATTGAAAATAATCTACAAGAAACGATTTCAAATCGCGAAGGTGCGAAAACGAACATGTGATATAACGATATAAGGTCTCAAAAGTGATTCTGATTCTACCGCTCATCAGTCAAGGCCGTCTCAACATAAAAAATAATCCTATTAAACCACAGCGCGAGTTGGCATCGGAACGTAAGAGAAAGTCCTTGCGTGTATCGCTATATCGTTATATCGTCTTCATCACTCGACGGCTTAAATCAGATTTCTGATGCATCACTTGGAATGAAAGTCGCTGTATCGGTTTGCCGATATAGGCGTTAAATCGATATGTCGCGATATATCGATTTATAGCCCAGTCCTAGTTATGATTAATACTCATTCTTTGTATTGTGATTTTTCACTTAATTAACTTTTTTAAACGAAAAGTTTATCGTCTTCTGTGCAGGCAGGGAACTAAAGGAAACAACTTGTGCAAAACTCGGCAATTTTGCAGGGGAAACCTTTTTGACAATTGAGAGATGGAAGGACATCAACCACCCATGCAATGTGACTGAAGTCAGGCTATTATCTGAATGTTCTTTAATATAGAAACATTCTAAGACGTAAAATCTGCAGATGAGAGAGAGTCTTATAAATCTCTCTTTCACATAGCCCAATGATGCCCAGCAGCCACCCTAAACTTTTGAATGCAATCCCCCCCCCATACTTTATGTTTTTCTAAGGAAAGGCAGTTGAAAAAGGCGGAGAGGCATCCATAAACTTTTAACGATAAGATCAATAAAAGCCTTTTTAATTAATTAATTATTAACATCAATTTTTTGAAAAACATTGCCCTGAAAATGGAAAAAACATTGTAAGTGCTTCACAATTAATTTAGCGAAATGTGTGCCCACCTTCATAATGTTAAAATAGAATTTCAGAATACTATAAAATAAGAAAAAAAAAATTAATTTTTTTTTTGCAATACAAAAATGCTAAATAAACGAAAACTGCGACTTCAATTTTTTTTATAGAGTTCATTGATTTTCCTATTGCACTACAGTTCAAATTATAAATTATACATTATATATATATATTACAAATTATATTCTATTCTAAAATTTATAAATAGAAAAAGGTTGTACAGATAAAAACTAACATATGAATCAGCATAAACTTCTTACTTTGCAAGTTAAGTCTTCTCCTTTTAAGAAACATTTCATGTTCTTAATCAAAACACCACATTGACCAGCTATGAAAACCAAACATAAATTAGGCTACATCAAATAAATACATTAAAAAAATTACTGAAATACTATACTGTAACTTCAAATGCAAGTTTTTCGCCAAGCATCGTTAAAAATAATGTTACTTTCAAGAAAAAATGGAGTCTGAAACAGGGTGTGATTTCCTCTATTAGCAAAAATTACTTGCAAATTCTAACGGTCTGAATTTCCATGATTTTTCCAATTCTGATGTTTTTAACCAGATGTTATTTTGAGGGAAGAATTCCAACTTAGAGTTATGACTTACTGACAGTCTTGATTAACAGTGACTTTTGATTAACAGTGACAACCGAACTTCGACTTCTTAGTAATCATTTTTTTAAGTGCATGATTCGCAGCTATTTCATCGTCAATCCATGTAATATTAATAACACTTTGTTCGCAGTTATTTTAGTTATTTATCATTCTTATGGCAATTTTACATGGTCTTCCAAATTTTGAATATAATGTTATTACGGAACATAAATTTCAGATATGAGTCAAAATTTTTTTACATACTCAATTTGCGACGATTCTATCGTAAATCCACTTTGTTTTTCAATCCTTATTTTTGGGAGTTATTTATCAATTTTTTGATGGTTTTAACCCAGTTTATGAAATTTTGATTTTTTTTATGATGATAATTAGACACACTTAGAGAAATGCATCAACACATTCATTTTAAAGCATTTAATTTGATAAATAAATAGATTTAATACAATTAATAAGTTAAACTAGTAATATTGGGTTCAATTACTTTCCATTTAAAAAAAAATATGCATGTCCAAAGTTTCAAAAAAATGAAAGAAAATTTGAAAAAACAGGAACGAAAAAGTTTCCCAACAAAACAACACATTAGCAACTTTTAAAAACAGAAAAAAAAAGAAAAATATATTCTCTACCTCAAGAGAACACCCCAACACTATTTTACTTAAAAGTTATTCAAAGAATTTCCCTCTCCCTAAATCAAGATCTTTCTGATTAGAATTTGCAATCCTGTTGGTGTAGGTAGAAGTAGGGTTCACAATTTTTTTTAGTATCTTTTTATTTTTCACCGCTAATAACAAACTTCACGATTGAAGAAATTAATGACGGAATTATTTTGCTTGGAAAATTGAAATGTATAACTACTCGACATGAACTCAAAAATAAGGATTTGCAGAATGAACTTTGATTAAAAACGGATTTCAAGAAGAGACTTGATTTCCAATATTTCACCTCCATTTATTATGTAAAATTTATAGTAAAGAAGAAAAAAAACGAGCTCACATTGAGTAAATTTTAAAGTTTCAAACATTGGCAGAATTTTTTCAAATTATCAAAATGCAAATATAAATTAAAAGCTGAGAATTTTCCCACAGAAAAGCTTTCTCTTAGATGCATCATTTGCAATCTTATCTTTTTAGTTAATTAATTTGATGGAGTTGACCTTTATAAAAAATGATAAAAATTGAATGTGAAGAAAATGGGAAATTTAGTTTTAAATTATTTACGCTTACATCTGTTTAAATTATATTAATTTTGAAATAATGCCAAATTAATGCTCTTTAAATATAATTTTTTTAAGAGGCATTAACATTAACTTTTTTCTTTCACAAAACTATTTATATACATTGCAGTTGCTTTTAAAATAATATTTTGCTAAAACTTTTTTTTTCTCTTGACAATGGAAATAAGTAATGAAAAAACTCTGCAATGCAAACATAAAAGACTTTTAAATCTAACATAAAATACATTTAAATAAACATAAAACAAGTTTTGAACTCTGAAAATCTAGTGGAACAACATTGTTTAAGAAGCACTGATTATGAGAAAGATAATAGTGAAAAGTAAAATATAAGAAAACAACAATTTTTAGAGTAAGGAATCAATTTAGGAATTGCATTTATGACTCTTGTGGGATGGACATTTTTTCTTCTGTGTCCCAATTTTTAATTTTTGGGTATCTGACATGCTACCACTTGAGAACAATAAAGCTGCATATCATGTCCCTTAGGATATTTTTTTAAATATGAAATGTTTGTGAAAACAAATTTTATATTTATTTCTTTGAAATTAGGTAGGTCATGGAAAATAATTGATCAAACGAAAAGCAATCATTCCACATTGGAGAGTGGGAGTGAACAAGGATAGAGGGAGTGAAAAATCGTTGGTCACTGTTTCGTCATTTTTTAGCACCTCATTTAATTTTGGTAAAACCATTAAATTCCATAACAATTTGGAATATTGAGCTACAGATTAATCAAGAACCTTACTCAACAACCAATTTTTTAATGGATGAAAATTGCTGAAAACATATACTCTCTATCCTGTTAAACTTATTTTTACCAAGTTGGATTACACATATGATTAAATGGTAAAATAATTCTGGTAGCACCAGTGTGAATGGGCTATTTAGATATCAAAAAACTACAAGGTTTCTTATTTGTAAAACTCATTTTATCACATTTATTAAATAAACCACTATTTAAAATGACAAGTATGTTTACATATAAGTAAATCATTTTCTGTTCATTAGTTAAAATTCAAATGAATTTTGTTACATAACTATTAATCAGTGTTTTCATCGCAGAGAAAAAATGGGTGAGAATTTCTCACCCTTTCTCAAAAACAGGGTGAGATTTCAAAAAGTTAAGTGAGATTTCTAAAAATTAAAAAACAAAAACGTAAAGAGACATGAAAAAAATCATTTCTTTAATTATAATACATTTTTAATATTTTCTAATTTTTAAAGCATTGAATATTTTTGCTGCATCATCATATAGAAAATGTTCTATATCTACTTTTTCATCAGCTATTCTAATTAGGTAACTCAAATGCGTATTTGTTTCGTTTTGATCGTTTCTACCCACATTTGTTTCATTTTCATTTGTCCGTTTCGGAGTAGAAGATATTGCCTTTACAAGGTATTTGTCCATCTTGCATTAATGCGCAAAAAATTTGAACGCCTTACATGAAGAAACCTTACCTACAGTAAACACGTGGTTGCAGAGAAATGCGTTCTGAAAGAGGTTCGGAGGGATGGTGTTCTGTAGTTCTTAAAGATTCTGAACAATACTGGTAAACAGGGAAGCTAGATAATGGGCCAGAAGTTGAAAATAATGAAAGATCCAGGAAGAAAAGTGAAACGGATTTCATTCTAATTGGCGCAATGAGAAATTTTTTTCAAAATGCGAGAAATTCGCGAATTTTGAAATTGGTTTATAGGATGCGCGAATTTCTCGCGGTAATCATTTTTTAATGCGAGAAAAGAAAAAAATATGCGAGATTCTCGCGTTCTCGCACTGTAGTGAAAACACTGTAATAATATATTAAATATAATAATCAATTAAATTTAATAATAATCAATATTATCAATAATTATATATTTAATATTGATTATTATATTTAATATTGATAATTATATATAATAATAATCAATATTAAATATAATAATCAATTTAATAATAATATATTAAATAATAATATATTAAATATAATATCGCTGTAATATATTAAATATATTACAGCGAATAAAAGTATCTTGTACATTTTGACAAACTTTAAAATATCAGCTGATGCATTAATTGAAAATAAGAAACAGGCAGTCTAAAATTAGAAAGTTTTCCTGCAAGTCTCAGAGAATAGATACTAAAACTAGATCAGTTTTTTAAAAGGCCAAATTTTCACACATAAAAGTGGAAATAAAATACACCAGAAATGGTGTTGAAACAACTAGGATAATCTTAAGATAAAAGGCAGACCATTGCAATATAATTATTATCGTTGTTTTTTCACAGCTCTGATAAAGATGTTCACCCTTCCATGCATATGGGCTCCATATGAGGACATATATATTTTACCTTCATGTGATTCCCATTTGTGCAATAATTTGCATTCAAGATAGTTAAAAGAATATATCTTTGGAAGTCGATGGAGAATTCAAGAAATATGTGAAAATCTAATGTTTTGTTTATTTCTTTTGGAGACTATATTACATTACTGGGAAATTGGTATTATCTTATATCCTCTAATACTTAATAAAGTGTGAACACTATTCCATTTTTCCATGATTCAAAATTATATTGATAAAATATACCACAAATATACTCATAATGTCCACACATTAGAGCACCAATATTTGTCTATACAGGACAAATATAAATAATTACAGCGCAATCCAGAGATACTAAATGAGTTTGTAGCATATCTGAATTCTTTCTACAGGGTGCGTAGCCAAATCCTTCAACAAAAAAATAAGCACCTTTTAAGTACTTTTTAAGCACTCAAAAAATATTTTTAAACACTAGTATGCATTAACAAAATGGAAAATAATTTTCAAAGACTTTACATGATCATGATAAAATAACTAGAATTGGACAAAAGAACTATTTTCTTGATTACATAAGCCATTAAAAAATGAGCAAATGATTTTTCGGTTTGATTTCAGAGGATGGAAAATGAAGCTTGAAATTGAGAATATCTTGTAAAATGCAGCAGGGTTGCACGAGAGTGCAAGTATTTCACCAAACCTGTAAAATGATTGGCACTTTCATACGCTATGGACTAACGGTATGCTAAAATTTATCGTGTTTGAATGAATTGTGAAAAGCACGTTTTTACATAATATGTGGCAAAAATCGGCATTCCCGTTCGAAAAGGGAAAATTAAGCACTTTTTAAAAGCACCCAATAAAAAAAAGCACCTTTAAGGGCTTTTAAAAAACGAAAGTCGAAAATAAGCACCTTCAAGCACTTTTTAAAAAGGCTATGCACTATGTTCTATAACTCAAATGAAAAATTCAAGCAGGAGAGGGTTCATCAAGTGACTTTAATTTTTGCAACAACGGCAGTTATTCATTCAAAAAATTTCAATATTACGTAAAAACAGAAATCAAATATAAATACTTCATTATGCACTTTATATGCACCCAACTGTTTCTTCGAAATCGCTCTAATAAAAAATTGAAAATGGCAATTTTTTACATTTTATCGATTACACTCGTTTTGAAAATGAAAAATTATACAGAAGTGTAACATTTTTTTTTCTTGCTTTCAATCTGATTTTCTGCAGTTAGGAATGTATCAGAATGTAGGTTTTAAATGATACAAAAATGATCCATCTAAACCTTGATTTATGAGGTCTCCCATCACATGTGCAAAGCAAATTGATATAGTTTATTCCAGCTATTTAGGGAAAGAAAGTTGAAGAGAAAGACTAATGGAGAATCAAAAAAAGAGAACTTCATATGAAAGAAGAAGTAGGATTAAATTGAGGACTCACCAACAGCAGCAGCTGTTTTAGATGTTGGTAAGTTAGTGCAATCTCCCAAGCCAAAGACATTTTTAAATCTTTTGGACTGTAGGGTGTGCTTATCAACATCCATGTAACCACTGATGGAGTCAGAGAGATCGCTCTCACGGATGACGTCGGGGGCAGCCATGGGTGGAACAACGTGGAGCATTTCGTACTATAAAATTATAAGAAAGACTCTTTAAAGATATTGCATAGTGTTCTGAATGGCTGAAAAGTAATGTTTTACAACCAGAATAAATTTAAAAACTAGATTGTTGAAGTACACGCTAAGAAACTCGGCTTAAGTTCAGTTAAACTTACATTTTCAAGCAATTCTTTCAAAGTAATAACATAACAGTAAATAACTGGTTAAAAAATTATTTAGATGTCTAATATCATCAAACAATTTAAACTATCAAAATTATCTTTATTGTTAATTATAATAGTTAATGAGATTCACCTCTTTTGTCTCTTATACAGATATAAATCGAAATATAAAAGAAAATTAAACAAATCAATTGAAATTCACAGTAAAAATAATCCTTTTGATACTATAATGGTATTGTTAACTTAGCATTTTATTACTAATCATACAGAAATCAATAGTGATAGGTGTATTTAAAATTGAAATTAGAGAATGAAGTGAGACTTCAACGAAACAATGTATGAGTAAGAAATGTTTAAACAGTGTTTAACTGTATATGTAAAATGGATTGATTTATAAAATTAGACGAAGTCCTTACTTTAAATGTTTCAGTGTCAGTCACGTGACCTGACACATCCAATTTTTGGAATACAGCCTCTTTTGTGTCTGGCCTGACTTCACTTAAGCTGCGTAAATAATTGACTGTTATATTCTTGTTCTTTGCCACCTGTTGAAGAACTGTATTATACTTTGGACACCCAAAGATATTCCCATGGGCCGTGTTGAAGATAACATTTGCTTTATCCCTCTTCTGCACCTGCAAAACAGACCAACAAAAAACACATTCTTTTTCATATTATTTTCCTAAATGTGCACAAAACATCTTAATGACTTTTGATTTAATGACTGCATAATCACATAGTAAGATGTAGATTGTTTGAGAGAATCACCTTTAAAAGTGTCAAAGAAACTCTACGCAATCTTTATTTGACTGAAGAATACTTACACAACCAGACACAAAAACATACTTTCTCTGAAGTATGCTATTTGACAAACATTTATTTCAAAAGTAAAACTTTGAATTGCAAGATATAGACATTTTTAAATAATGTAAAACTAGTAAATATTAAGGATAAACTACAAAATTTGAACTGAATGGGAAGAAAAGTTTTTTAAATAGGAAAAGTTAAAAACAACTTTTGAGAAATTTTATTGCTTAAAAGTATTAAAAAAATTGTCAGGGTTCAGAATAAATCTTCCCCTGATTTTTCTATAAAACTTTAAGCTTAAAAAGTATTAAATTATATTTCAAATAAGAAATAAATTACCTTACAATTATGTATATTGGATTACTTTTAAGGATTACAGTCAACATAGTATTTAAAAACTAAAATAAAAAGTGACAATGATTAAAACAAGCAATATAAATATTCTGATTTTCTAAACAAATTGACTTTAAAAATAAAAAAATAAAAATTAGTTGAGAGAATTCATCACACTTCAGATTTTGAGCAGGGGGAATAAAATAATCTTTATAAAATAGTAAAATAATCGCAAATCTTTAAAAACACTTTCACTGAATCTAAATACATGGGGAGGCATTTTTTACATTTACAAATGTACAACTATCTAGAATTCTCAGAGGACATCGAACTTGGTATAGCCAAAAATTCAGGTTTTCGATATTATTTTTTTATTGCAGTAAACTGTACCAAGCTTCAAAAAGAACTAAAGTTTATAAAAAAAAGTAATGAGAGGTAAAGTGGAAAAAAATCTATGATAGTTGTTGAAAAACCGTTTCAAAAATAAATAAAAAAAAAGGTGAAATTGCAATGTTGGAAAAACGCAATAAAAAGAGGGAAAAAAAATCATTTAGTTCTAAACTCTTATATTTAAATACAGTACAGAACCCGTTATCCGGAAATCAGAAAACCGGAAAACCAAAAAACCGGAACGAAATTCGATAAATTTTCCCGCAATTTTTAAAATTTGTTTTTTTTTTCCTCTTAAGATTTTAGGACTTTTCTTTCTTTTTTGAAAGATTTTTACCTTACCATCATTTTGGAAATAATTATTAGTGTATTACTTCATCATTTTTTCTTCTTTTTAAGATATATAAGATATAAGATATAAGATATTCCAAATATTTATTTTTTTTAGTTGGGTTTAACAATAAAAAAACGGAAACCGGAAAATCAGTTATCCGGAATAGCGATGGTCCCGATCGTTCCGGATAATCGGTTCCCTACTGTATTATCAGGTTTTAAACTTGAGAGCAAAAAATCTTGGTTTTATATATTACCAAATTTTTAAGCATGATGTTTAACTAAAAAAAAAAGAGCAGCAGCAGATGGTTAAACCTATATTTTGATATTGTTTGAATTGTAGGGTTATATTATAAATAATTTTAAAAGTATTGCTTCAACTTAAATAACTTTTTGTCATCCGAGGAAATTAATAAGGCCAATTTTCTCAAAATGTCATCTTTTACCTTAAACAACAAAAAATTCATCTCATTAACTTAATGTTGAAAATTTTTATATTCAGACCATGTATTTCAAGTATACAAACCAATGACCAGCATTGAAAATTTAGTGACAGTTTCAAACTGTTATTGCATGAAAAAAATGTAATTACTGTCCCCTCACTTAAAAGAATTCAACATTAAAAGAAAAACATTCAATATTTTTATAAAAATTTAGAATTATTAAGTAAATATAGAAAAAAAATTGAAATAATATTTAATTAATATTTTTTAAGAAAATAGATTATATTTAGAATTGTGAAAATAAATATTAAGAGTTTTCATAATAATTTTTTTTTCATTGCAAAAACATCTTTGTATCACTTATATTTTCAGAGTACCTTAAGTAAGACCACATTTCGTAAACAAACATATAAGTTTAAATCAGAACTCTTTTGCTTTTAAAATGTGTTTTTGTATAGTACTGAGACAAAAAATACAAAAAGGAACAGTACTGACAATAAACTGAAAAGACACCATGTTTTTTTAATTTCAAGATATTTTTTTCTTAAGTATACCATATGCTTTATAATAATTTAAAACAGTGTTTTCATTACAGAAAAAAAATGGGTGAGATTTCAAAAAGTTAAGTGAGATTTCTAAAAATTAAAAAACACGAATAGACTTGGAAAAAAAATTATTTCTTTAATTATAATACATTTTTAACGTCTTCTAATTGAATATTTTTGCTGCATCATCATATGGAAAATGTTCTATATCTATTTTTTCAACAGCTATTATATTTATTTGGTTGAAAAATATCCGTATTTGTTTCGTTTTGACCGTTTCTACTAACATTTGCTTCATTTTCATTTGCCCGCAACAGAGTAGAAGATGTCGCCTTAACAAGGTATTTGTTCATCTTACATTCATGCACGAAAAATGTAAACGTCTTACATGAAGACACTTTACCTACGGTGAACACGTGGTTTCAGAGAAATGTGCTCTGAATGGGGTTCCGTGGTTCGGGAAGGGGGGGGTGATCTGCCGTTCTCACCGGTTCTGAACAATACTGGTAAATAGGGAAGCTAGATAACAAAGACCGATGTTCAAAATAATGAAAGATCAAGGAAGAAAAGTGAAACGGATTTTATTCAAAATGGCAAAAGACGAAATTTTTTCCAAAACTCGTGCATTTTGAAATTGATTAATAGAGTGCGCGAACTTCTCGCGTTTATCATTTTTTATTGCGAGAAAAGAAAAAAATATGCGAGATTCTCGCGTTCTCGCTTTGTAGTGAAAATACTGATTTAAAAACATAATAGATATTGTCTATTTTAAATTTTAAAATATATTTTGTATATTTCATCTAAATTGTTTGTAGTTTAGAAATAAGCCTTGGCAGCATTTTTTTAATGACACAAAATTTAATTTTTTGTATACCTCGTGCATCAAACCAATAAAACTTTTCATCCAAAAAGACCAGTAAAATTTTAGTTCACTTTTGACTTGGATAGAAGTTTTATTCTTAATTGTTGCTTTATCACAAACATGTATATAATTTATCTAAAATGAGGAAATATCAGCGAGTAGTTGAAAATGACTAACTAAAAATTTCTATAATACTTAAAAAGTGTTTTTTTTTTTTTTTTTTTTTTTTTTTTTTTTTTNTTTTTTTTTTTTTTTAACTATTTGAATTTTTATTTCTCCTCACAATTTCCTAAATAAAAACAGTAAAAAAATCAAAATAACAAAATTCAGATAGTAAAGTTGTTAGAATTATAACTTAAAGAAAATGTGCGGACATTCTAAATTATTCAAATCTTAATACGAGTAAAAAGGGAACAAAAATGTACCATAAAAACTTCCTACTAAAAATTTAAAAAATAAATAAATAAAAACTCAGAAAAAATTTAAGCTATTTGGTTTTGCTTTAAATTCAATATTTAAATTATTAGTTAGGATTAGAAGTTAATATTTTGATATTCTAAATCAAAGTATAGTTTGAATACGAAGCAGAATGTATTCATAACTATCTAAACACTTGCAGATTATTTTAACCTTATGTCAATAACATTAATTAATAACAGTCATAAATTTGTTCCTAAGTTTTAAAATTTAATATTCTTATGTTTACTAACAATGTTTTCAAACCAAATGTATAATTATTAATTATTGTTAGACTAAAAGGATACAAAATATATAATCAAACATATTAAAAGATTTTCAAGCACTAAAGTAATTATAGACCCTTAGGTAATTACTCTTTCTTTTATATACATATGATGTAGAGGCAGTAATTATAAAATAATACTTTTTGCCTTAAAGATGAAAAACTATTTCATTTCTTAAATTAAGCTATCCATATTTTATAAAAGTAAGGAGAGCGAGCCATACCTTTGCAAAATACTCTTCAGCAAGGTACATGATCTTCTGAGGAGCCCCCCCACACTTGATTGGTGTGAGAGGCTGGGTGAAGATGGCATTTCCTTCAGCAAATCTCTCCAATGCCTGGCATGTCTTAAGTACAGTAGGGGGGGAATAAATGGAGCAGACACCTTCTGTCTCAAATGCGCCAGGAAGACCTTTGATCTGCAAACAGATTCTCATCAAATTGAATTATTAAAACTCGGTTTCCTTTCTCTAGATAGAATTAAAGATTGTTTGCTTCTATTCAGTTTTTACCAGGAAGCAAAAAAACACTTTTCACCTGCAAAACCCATGGGAAAAACCTGGTAAATACTACAACAAAGTACCGACAAAATGCCCCAATTTGAGTAAAAACTAATGAGGCTCATTCTTTAAAAGTTGCATTAAAGAAAATATAATCAATTATGTTGAATAAAGTACATAATTTAAATAGTGTTAAAATTTAATTTACATTTTTCTTAAAGATTTGTGTTTAAATTTAATTTATTTTAATGGTTGCTTTTGAATTAATTTCATGAAAGCATGCACCTACAGATAAATTTGGTAATCAATCAATGCTTAAGTTTAACATAATTTTATTATTTTAATATTTTATATTAATCTTATATCAATCTTTTATTATGTTAAATAACCCTGAATAATTTAACTTTCCCATGCAATTAATTCAACTTAGAACTATAGTAATCTCACGTTATTTATTCAAACTAACTATTCTGTCATGGAGTTAAATAAACATTTTATTTTGCATTTAGTGCCATGCGGTTTTTGGGAAGACTGATATTTTTTATTAAAAAGTTTTCGCACTTATTTTAAATTTCAATTAAAATATTTTGTAAATAAATCTTTCAAATATCCATGTGGAGTAAGAGGTGACATCATACAGAAATTCACAAAATGATGTCACTGGATGGTGGTTAAAAGGAAAAGATGACTCACTTTTGCATCAGATTATTAATCTAAGCATATTTTTTTGTTAAGATACGAAATTTGAAACAATTTAGTTGAATAGTTCCGGAGATGTATAAATGCATAGCTATGGTTTTTTTCTCCCACTTTTTTTGAAATTGATACTTCTTTTTCCCTTTTGAATCAAATTTAAGGTTCTGACTACAAATTCATTGTTGTGTTATGGTCAGGTTCAAGAAAAAACTATAATTTTATCTTTAAAAAGGCAAAAAATACCTGTAATAAGATTATACAGAATCACAATTTCTTATCTTTATATTAATAAGTTTTCAATGACCCACTCAAAGTAAAATTTTATATAAAACTTATTAATGGATACAACAGATAATGCTTTTTGATTGACATCAAATTTGAAAATAACAATGTTTAAGTTTGTTTAAGAAGCTTTTGAGTGTTGACCAGTTTTTTGATGAATTTCTGAAAGCTGTTGACATGACAAATTAATAATGAAACAAGATTTATACCATAACATACAACAATAATTTGATCAGGGTGCATAGCCAACTTAAAAATAAAAAAAAATAATAAAAAATTTAAAAAAATAAAAAAAAACACCTTTTAAGCACTCAAAAAAAATATCAAATAAAAATAATTAGGTAGGGTTGGTAAGTTTTTGACAGTTTTATCTGGTTCTAACAGTCATGTCAAAAATAAATAAATAAAATCTTTTGAGATAGTCTTTGAAAATTGCAAAAACCCCAAAATTTTGGCTTAAGGATAATTATTAGCTTTTATAAATATGAAGTATTTTTAAATGAACATACAAGTGTTCCATCAATTATGTATTATTTTAACACAATCTTGAATTAATTTATAAAACTCTTTTTGTTTTGAAAATTACTGTCAAAGACCCACATTTTGTTCCAGAAAATTCTAAATAATTACAAATAAAAATGTGTCAAATTACGATTTATCCAATCCCTTAATTAGTTTATTTATTAAAAATAAAAATACAAAACAATTATCTTAAAAAAACACTTAACAAACATCTTATTCTTATATGTAAAACCAGCTTTCATTTACTTCCATTTTAACTCTTACTTTCCCCAAAGCAAGAAATAGCTTTGAAGCCCTCTTTACCCCAAGTTCATTTATCAGTTTGTAGGAATAAGACCGAAATTTGAAACTGCTCTTTCGATTGATGCTCAGCTGTATAGACCAGAATGTTGACCTATTAAACTATTACAATATAATATAATGACATGTAATTAGGAAATTTATTCTAATAACTGTACTAAATATTGATAGTAATTTAGTTAAATCTTTGAATTGATTGATTTAAAAGCTTATTAACTCATTTAAACAAAAAATTTTATTTCTTGTAAATTATAATTGTAACTTATTATTTTGTAATTTATGGGGGAATATATTATATTTATCATTTATTGTAAATATTCACATTCAAGCAGGAAAATTCGTAGTCTCTAATATTTCCGCAGAAATTTTTTTTGGGGGGATTGAAATTTCTCCAAAAATATCAATATTTTCCTTTCTTTTTCTTTTAGTACAACTTTTTTTAAATATATTAGAAAAATATTGTTTACATAAGAAAAGAAATTTGATTGATTTTATACAATTCTTGAATAAAGGAGCATTTGTTAAAAATTGTTAGAAATCAAAATATGTTGAAATAGTAATAACTTATTAAAATAAAGGGTTCCACTCATAAACTTAAAGAATTCAAACTAATAAATACACAAATTGAAATTGTATGCTTTTTAACAAGGGAAAATTTGTAAACCGACACATTTTATAACAATAAAAAAATTTGTAGGAACTTTTTTAGACAGAAAATTTTTCTTTGGCTGCCTGAATTTCCATCAAAAACTTGTTTGCATGATTAGAGATATACTGCTAACCTATACATAAGTAATGATAACAAACGTTAATAATATATATATTTTTATCATAAGTTGAGATCAGACAATTATTGGCGACAACTTGAGTTTTACTTATTCTAATCTAAAAAATCTGCTTAAATTGTGGCATAAAACAATTAAAATCAATATTTAGATTGATAATAATTAACAACTCATAGTTATTACTTGTAATATATTAAAAGTACCACGTTTTTAGAAAAACCAATTAATAATTTAATGATTTTGGCTTTATTTTATATCAATGATATATTGATATAAATTAATAATAGTTTATAAGGCAAGTATTGCTCATGATTTGATGTTTAATAAAATGACCTCAATGTTAATAATGAAACTTGTACCAGGTTTTTAACAGTTTTTATCAGATTTCAACAATTTTTGACACTTTTAGACAGGTTTTGATGTGTCAAGTCAAAAACTAGTTTTTGACATCAAAATCCCAAACCTACAATTAGGATATAAGCACAAATAAAAAGTTTTCCTTATCCCTATTTTTGAAAGTTCTTCATAAATACATTAACAAAATGCAAAATAATATCCTACATGATCATGATAAAATGATAGTTTCTGACAAAAAACTCTTTTCTTGATTATATTAGCCCCCATAAAACAATTTATACACAATTTTAAACTTTTTTTTAGATTCAATATTAAGTGACTCAATCTATTTTTAAATTAATAATTACTTCACTTAATTACGTAAAAAAAATTCATTCAAAATTATTTAAAAATGTTATTGAATGAATTTTTTAGATTTAAATAAAAGTTATTTATAAAGCCATATTCAACAAAACATTAACAAGATTAATATTATTGATCATACCAAATTTATAAAGATATGTAAAGAAGTAAGCAAACTAAAAAAACTAGTAAATTCAGATTATAAATGTAAATTTGGGGAAGGCCCCTAAAAAATGTTTATTATTATTTGTTACTTAGTTCAGTATTTTTAACGAAATGTTTTAAAAAATTTTTAAATAATTTTGAAATGTAAATACAACGAGTATTGAAGCTAAACGTTTTTATCTTATATTCTTAATATTTAACAAATCTGAGATAACTGAATTTTTCATTTCAATTTTTTAACAAAATCATTAAGAAATGAATTATAGTTTTTTTGGAATGAAATTTCGGATTTTATTTTTTACATAACTAAACATAAGATTTTTTGCTGCATTTAAAATATTAAAAACCCCTCCCTTCATACTTTTTTAAAATCTTGCTTCTAAATATTATTGAGTTATCTCATAAAACAATTTAAGAATTCTGAAAATTTTAAAGTGATATTATAATGATTAGCAAAAAGTAATAAGCAAAAAAAAAAGGTTATAAAGTACAATAAAAGTTTAAAAAATTCTTTTGCAATTTTGGTGAATGGTAATTTCAAGTAAAAATATTATGCTTAAAATTATCATTTAATTATTAAATTTAATGAATAAAAAGAAAAGGGAAATTTTGAGGTGATGAAGCTGTGAGATTTCTTACTGTTCTGGGGATCCACAAGAAAATATGTAATTAAAGAATGATTTCCAAGTCAAGTTCAAAGATTATGGTACTGATCTATAAATTGAATATCTCGAGATGACCATTAGTTTGCCAATGATGAAGATGATGCTGCTTCACCAACGATAAAATTAACAAGAGAAATAACATTTTCTATGGCTATTAGGAAAAAAAAAATTTTTTTTTAAATGTTTAGTTGGTCCCCGTACTCAACGAAAACTCGAGAGATTTTTCGTTTCGATTTCCGAGGTCGGAAAGTAAAGTCTGAAATTGAGAATCTCCTGCAAAATGCAGCAGAGTTGCTCATGAGAGGACAAAAATCTTTCACACGGAATCCAGATCAGTATATGCACATGCAGACTCACAAATATTTCATCAAACATACATAACGATGGGCGTTTTCCGGACTGACAATACACCGCAACAGATTGGGGTAGAAGTAATTAGGAAAATGTTGAATAGAATAATGTGAACTAAGACTTTTTGAATAATTTATGGCGAAAATCAAGATGGTAACAAAAAAAATATCTGAGTTTGGAAAAGGGAAAATTAAGAACTTTTTATAAACACCCAATGAAAAAAGCACTTTTGAGGGCTTTTAAAAACGGGAATCGAAAATGAGCACCTTTAAGCACTTTTTAAAAATGTTATGCATCCTTTTTGATGCTATAATAAGAATAAAAGTGAAAATTAAAATATTTCTACCTTGTCAAAAGATAATTGCATACCCAAAGCCACGAGTAAACAGGAATATTCAATCTAGAATAAAAGTGATAAAAAAATTACACATGCTAAACAGAAACTAATATGCACTAAAAACCAATTTACCTATACATACATGTATGTAATGTATTAAATAATAGCTAAATAGAATTAAGGGATCTAAAAACTACACCTAAAAAGAATTATTTTCTATTCATAGATTAACTCTTCCTTCCATTTCTACACTTTTGGCTGATTATTTCATAATAAATTCAAAATTTTACTTTGTTTTTTCAATTATTTTTTAAGATGATACACAGACAGAAAATACTTGCATATTAGGCAATGCAAAAATACATTAACATTAATGAAAACCTTTCTCAAAAGCTACATCTAAAGAAATTATTATTAGTGCCCTTTGCATTGATTTAGAAATAACAAATATGATTATTTTTTGAAATAAAAAGGAAACTATTAATAAATTGCAATAATTTATTTCATTTACATCAATCACATTCAATTTCTTCATCATAATAAATCCATGTGCTATGGTTTCTAAAAGATCCATTTACAAAAGTAATGATGCACTGGAAAAATAACTTAAATCTGACTTATTCATTTTCTTTTCTGTCAATCTGTAATATTTTTTACTGATATGGCAACAAAATCTTAGATATCAATTTTACTTGAACCATTTTTTTAAACACATTTTTTAAAATTGATTTCAATGGGAATAATATCAAAAAACATTTGTATACTACAGTCTATTTGTTATACAAGCAAGTTTCAATTATAAGAGATATAAAATGAATTCAGATTTATGTTTCTACAACCCTCATTCAGATTTTATAGCGAAAAATTTGCAATTTGTTGGAAAAAATTATGTTTTTTTTTTCTCCTCTTTCAAATTTTGACAATTTTGGGTGGGGGTTTAACTATGATACTTTTTATACTTATAACTATGATACTTTCCAAACATTAATGTTATACCAAATGGCACCTTTTCAGGGGGTCCTTGAAATGTTCGATGAAAAAAATTTCCTCATATTAACAAAAATTACCTTATTGTACACATTTAAATTTCTTTAGCTTTCATATAAATAAAATAAGAAGAAAAAGTGATCTGAAATTTTTCATTCTACAGAAAGGCTAAAATTAACTACAATGAAAATTATCATGTCACTAGAATAAATAAAAAATCACAGCGTTGGAGAAAAGCAGTTTTCTAGGGAATTGATTGCTGCAGTGATTACAAATTTAATGATGTTTAAACAGTAAGTAAAAAAGTTCAATTGTAGTTCCTTTCTCCTCAAGAGAAGAATAAATTTTAAAAGTTCATGAAGAATTTGATTATCCAGATGTAAGGAAAAGTATTTCTCCATACTATTATTGGTAGGACATTATGTTAAGCAACTTGCCAGTTGAATAAGATCTCCTACTCACTTAAAAAAAATATGGTTTGTTTTAAGTAGGAACAACAGAGGAGTAAGAATTGATTGTAAGAACTACAACCTGAGACTTTAAATAAGTCATTCAAGAGTTTAAGTCATTATGAGGAATCTATTCTTATAAGTCATTAAGAGGAATAGGTAACTAGGCAGTCTTGTGGTAGAAGGAAGCAAAAAATAAAGTAAAGAATTAAAAACCTTAATTGAAATCAAAAATAGAATGTAAATTTATAACATTAAAACTTTTTTCCAAAAGTCAATTTAGTTCAAACTGATTATTCTTTTTTAAAATTATAATTTACAGATGAATATACACACACAGATTTTATATATATATANTATATTTATATATATATACAGTCAAACCCTGCTATAGTGAACTCCCAGATATAGTGAATGAAATGTTCAGTCCCGTGCCTTGCTATACATGTATAATGCTATTTTTTGTGGATATAGTGAACCAAAAAAGTGAGGAAGTTGGATATAATGAACTTTTTTCTGTCTTCAACTGATTTTTCCCCATTTTTTTTTCTTTTTCTTTTAGTAATCTTGAAATTTCTACTTCAAAATAAATACATATACCGATTTTTAAAACCATCTATAGAGGGGGAAATAGCGATAAGCATTTTTCTTGCTTGCTTCTTTTATCTCACTTTCCCATCCCTAAACAAATCAAGCAGATGTTTCCAAACCCAGGCAGATGATGGCCCTGTTAGGAGTCAGCGGGATCAATATGCATTTTCTGTCAAAGGGAATGAGTAATTATTTATTATTGGTCAAAGGGTTGGACACTAATATGTGTTACAAGGCCCTCATTTCAACTCCTTTTTTGCTCTCAGTTCAGTTAAAAAAAATCCTGCAAACAAGTGCCTCAAATTTAACTATGGCGAGCAGTAAACATAAAACGTTCTCCATTGATGATAAAATGGACATAATCAGAAAAATTGAAAATGGATGCAATCAAGCTGATATTTGCAGGGAATATAAACCATCCAAAGCTGCAGTTCATAACATATGGAAAAATAGGCAATTAATAATTTCTGCCTATGAAAAAAATTTAGATGGCAGATAAAAGTTGAGAAAAGCAGATCTCAAGGATGTTGAAGAAGCATTACTGAAGTGGTTCACCAATCGAAGAAGCCGCAATCTTCCAGTATCTGGACAAATGTCGATGAATTCGCTAAGTGATTTTATGAGACTACTTTTATGTGCTTGAATGACAGGTTACACAGGTTTAAAAAGCGGAATAACAGAAATTCAGGAAAAATTATCTGATAGTCGGGAAGTGCTTCCACATCTGAAGTTGAGGATTGCTCATCAGCTAAAGATTACTAATTTTTATTTGTACGGAACAAAGAGTAATGAAAAATAACACATTTTTTACTACTACATGATATTTTTCAGTCATTTATTTGAATAATGTGTAATAAAAAGGGGGAATTTGGGAACCATTCGTTAAATTGCCTGCGTAACGGATATAGTGAACTCCCGGTTTTAGTGAATCGAAATTTCGGTCCCTTGAAGGTTCGCTATAACGGGGTTTGACTGTATATATATATACATATGTATATACATAAATAGAAAACACAATAACTGTTTTTTTTTAGCTTACTTATTTTAAAAACTCGTATGATATTTCTGAAAACTTTCTTTTGCATTCTATTATTATTTTTCTACAATCAAAGAATTTTTTTTCAACAAACGGATTGAAACAATGTATATTTTGTACAATGTAGCAACAATATAAAACATCTTTTCATGATTTCACTAAACAATTTTGAGTGATGCTGTCTTGTAACTCTGATATCCTGAGATTATATTTTATTTAAAAATTGTACACCATTAAGTTGCATCATATAAAGTATTTGTTATGACAACAACAGAAATAAACAATTTTTATCTCATGAAAATAAGGTAAAATTCTGAAAAATATATTATAAAAATTGTACCTCTCCTGCTTTACTCGTAAACACACGATTGGATGTTGGATCAAATTTGATGACACGGTCTCTGATCCATGTGGCTCCCTTAGGCATCACACTGCTCATAGATCGATAACTTTGATCAAGTCTTTTTTTCATAGCTCCAACTAAAGTCCAATATGGTTGATAATAATGAACCTTAAATTAAAATACATAAACATTATAAAAATGACATACAGGTTTATAAGCTAATGATAAAATATATATGCAATAGACATTATTCAATAAATTTTAATTACTGTACAGGTTTTTCAAACTTAACTCATAAACCACTCTAAAATTAAACCTCTCATCGTATATAACTGACATAAGCTAATTTTCTTGATGAATTATGAGTACCTGTACGATCTAATCTCTCATAATTATGAACCATACAACATTCGGATAAGATCGCCAAGTTGGAGAATTTTTAAAACCCTGTTTATATGACTTTTATTAATTTATTATTTTGAAGGATTTTAACCAGTTCCTTGAAGCAGATTGTTAAATAGAAATTTTGTATAAAAGGTGACAGATATTATTGCACAGATTTTACTTTTAATAATGTAATAAGTTATTTTAACTATTCACTCCCCAGTGCCACCGTTTTTCGCTCAAGTGCACTTTCTGGTGGGGAAAAGGATGCACGCTTTGCAATTTAAAAACAGTTTAATTTTACAAGACAAGAAAAAGGAAGGAACGAAAATACAAAATTCAAATTAAATAATAAAAATACAATATAAAACATGTTAAAACTTAGCTGTTGTATGATAAATCCTGAAACATGGTTGGACACATAAACCAACATCACATTCATCGCACTGATAGTGGGATTCACGACGAATTTTTTCTCTTGAACAAACACCACATTTTCGCGATGCATTTTTCTTTGAAGACGTTGATGGAAAGAATAAAAAGCACCAAATACATAAGGGAAACAAAAGCGAAAAAAGAATAAACCCGACCTTACTCAAATAAATACAAGCGATTAATACGATATCACTTTTCCATAACATCCTTTTCCCATTCCCCCTCCTCCGAAATTAGTAATACATTCGCAAAGCAAACACTTTCAAGGCCATTTTATTGCATTCTGAAGTAGGGGGTGTAGTTCTATTTATAGCAGAGCAATGCAAAGCATCGTACTTCGGAAAAGCGTATATATACGCCTGCGGCAGTTAACGCACCGTCTGGCCGAGACGTATATATACGCCCGCGGCAGTTAAGGGGTTAATAATGTAATAAAATAATAATAACTAATAAATTACTAATATTTAATTAATTATAGATAATAATAGATAATTATAACTTTTATTCATTTCATATTTGTTTTTGTAAAAAATTGTTCAAAAAAGTAAAAATATTAACAGACACATATAAAATCATCATATATGATTTCTATTTATAAATTTTATAAAACAATTAGAAACAGCTAGAATAACTACTGATTTAATGATTAAATGGTACCCATATGATTTAATGACAAATGGTACCCATATATTCAAGTTTCCTTGTTTTCAAATCTATAAAATGACAGTAGTTACACTTTTTTTTTTCTCATTACATTTTGATATCAAAACAAGTGGATTGAAATGTTCCAAACATTTTCGATAATTAATAAATTATAAGAAATTTTTTTACAAAGTACTAAACAGACAGAATAAGCATATAACAATAATTATAAGAATATAAAAAACAGAAAGAGAAAAGCACCATCCATAGGTATTTATTGACTTTTCTGTTATAAATTGATTAAAAAAAATACAAATTCACTTTAAAAATAATAACTTTGATAACATAATATTGCATTTATTATTATTGACACAGACAATAGAGGGTAAATTTGCAAAGAACCAAGCTCCTTTTTTCTTTGCCTTTGAAGTAAAAATAAAAATGTGAATTTTTTGAATAAGATTTTTTTCTTCACATCTCTCAATCAAAGTTCGGATAAAATATATTAATAATACTTAATATTATTCAAAAACAATAGAATAGCAAAAATATTCAATGCTTTTAACTAAAATGGTTAAAATTATTATTTAATTATTAGAAATTAACTAATGAATAAAATCATAATTTTATTTTAAGCCCACTCTGATGAATTGTAATTAAATTTCATTATTTACACACTCTAACTACATATAAGTGCTTCAAAAGTTCTTATATAAAAATAAATTTGAAACTGAATGGGTATAATTGAAACATGAACATTAAAAACAAATTATTTGACAAACAGACAACCGGAAGTAATAATTTAAAAGCTTCATGCCATTTTTATCCTCATTTGAGGATAAAAATGGCATGAAAAATAACTAAATAGCTTATTTTTTAATTATAATATTATGAACATCAATTAATAACTGCAAATCCAGGCAAAAAAAAAAAAACTTATGACCAATAACTTATAATTTATTACGAAAATTTTGTTATCCTATTAACGAACTATTTTAATATTGCATAAATTAATAATATATTAGGACTGCATGCAATGAAATGACACAAATAAAAAAAAATACATATATAAATGAGAAACAAATAAATGATGCTCTGTCCCGCAGTGGACAGATCGTTAAGACACGGTTCCCAGCAGATCACCAAAGTCAAGCATCACTGGCTGCGGTCAGTGTGCGGGTGGGTGACCACTTGGATCAGTCTGCGTAGCGACCGAGAGTGTGTGGTATTGGTCCTCGTTAAACTGTGCTACCGTAAAGTGCTCGACTTTGCGCGCAGGTCGTCGGGCTAACGAACCAGGGGTGCCATCCCCTCCGCAGAGGATCAAAATTGTGATGGCATGTCTTCGGATCATCCTCCGGGATGTTTCCCAGACCGTCCCCAATAGCCCATTGTGCAGCTTTGTGCGACGTAAATTAACAACAACAAATGATGCTCTACTGTAATACAAAAATTTGATGAAGTCATCTTTGAGTTTATTTCACACAGTACAAAAAGCCTAAACAATTCATATAATTTTTTAAAAAAATAACTTATTTACTTTAAAACAATTTGCAAAAAGAAATAAATCTTGTATTCTATTTTGCTCTGGAAAAAAAAATCCAAATATTTACATCTGCAGGTTCAATGACTGTGACATCACTTTCACCAAGTCTCAATAGTTTAGCAGCCATTGAGATACCGCCAGTACCACCACCCACAATGAGAATTTTGACAGTACTCTTGCGTCGGGACACCGTGGCAGAGAACGACAGCATTTTAAACTGTAGAAGCTTTGACGAGGACTTCTGTACAGACATTTCTTTCCAATCTTTGTAAATTCTGAAACAATAAACTTAGCTTTATGATAACATATTTAAAAATATATTTAAGTAAAAATTATAGTATAAGCTTGAGTTTATCAGGTCAGTTTTTTCTAAGAAAATTTAATTGAACTAAACATTTATTTAATTATTAAAGAACAGTTTTCTCTTGGAATAATTAAGTGAATTTTAAAATAATTATATAACATATATCAATCCATTTTAATACTACATTTTAAGGCACAGTCATACTAAAAAGTATTTAAACAAAAATTAGATTAAAAATTAAATTAAGCCAAAATTTAAATATATTATAAGGTGTAAAAATTATTGGTTTTATTCTAGTTGCCACAGATACACATGCTTATAAGTGCATACTTATTATAAGTGCATAATATTGTTGTGAATTTCCGCAAATTCTAAATAAGCAAAATTTATTTTAAGTTTTATAAAAACAAAACTGATAAGTCATATGATTTTATAAATCCTTAACCACACTTTAATAGGTACAATTTAAATTAACTTTAAACTTTTCATATTTATTTGTAATCAAGCTATTTAATTAAATTCCATATCTTAACAAAACTTAAGTCAGCTAAATAAAGCAAATATATAAGGACATGATTAAAAGAAAAAAGTGAATACCTTCAAGTATTCATAATAAGAATTCAATTTATTTTAATAATGGTAGGGATAGAACAGCAGCATAACCCGTGCTAAAGTTGGCAGTTCCCCCAAATACTTAGCTTACTATAGTAATTTCCGATCAGTTCTTTTCCTCGTTTACATTCTCTATTTATTATGAAGTAAAAAAGAAATTTCTGTTCAGTTCTAGAATTTTTATCATTTTTTTTACATTAACTGAAGTGCAAATTATACCAATCAAATTCGAAAAAGCAAGTGAACTTTAGAATTTGACTGGTGCAATTTTCCTTGTTTGTAAACACACGCAATAATAATCTTGTAAAAAAATTTTATTTCAGAAATGTATAGTGCTTAAAATTTCCGATGTAGCTGAAAAGCTAAGTAATTAAAGTAAATATTTAAAGAGAACAAAATCTTTTATAAAGTTGCTTTTAATTAATTTCATGCGGTTACATGCAAAAATCATGAACAATAAATGACATTATAATTCTATATAATTTTGTCTCACACATTTTATAATCTGGTAAGCAAAGGAAAAAATAATTATGTTCTAGCAATAAAATAAAAAGAGGGGCGTTTACTTACGTTTTATTTAAATAAAGACACTTTTAAATAAGTAACGTAAGTTATTAAAAATGTAAACTTCGCTTACTCGTAACTTCAACAAAACAAATCTGTATCCTTTTTTGCGTACAAGAATATATACATTTTTGACATTCTTGCTATCAAAGCAGTGTATTTAACAAATAAATAGTCATAGTACTCTTCAAGTGCTAATGAAGAATTGTGTACTCTCTTACTTAATAGAATTATTTTATTAATAGCTGTTTTGATGAATGCATCAAAGATAAAAATAATGCAAATCAGCAGTAAATTCCCAACTCCCCTTTTTTTTAAAAAAAATTAATGTCTTCTTTTTAGTATTAAAGCAGGTCAAGTAATTTAAACTGGCTGTTTATTTTTTGGGGGCTTAATGGCCAATCACAACGACGTTTTTTGGCAAATAACATGAAAATATTGTGACATATACCCTGTAAAAAGGTGAGTTCTACCAAATATTTTTTCTAACTACAGCACTGAGCATAACCATTTTGGAGAAAGTAAAGTTGAGTTTTTGGAGCAAATATTTTTATTTTCGGAGTATAATGCTTAGAAAAGTTGGGTTTAATGAGCAGGTGAATTTACTTAACATGGCTTGGAAAAATGTATTACCAAACAAAAAGATTGTGTTAGAAATGCCAGAAAGAATAACTTAAAAAGTGTTTAACTGAAACATTTACTTTATTGATTTCCTGCAGAAAGAATGGATTGGCATGGATTTATGGGAAACTTGTACATAACTGTATACATAATCTCACCCATGTAGGGTCTAAGGGGCATATTGCCCAGATTGTTCTTTGGATTAAACATTTTCTGCCTGATATATACTTTGGTCCTAATTATATTCATAATATATAATTCTAAAAAAAATAATATAAATAAATAATGAAAATAAATATAAAATTTATTAAATATTTATTACTGTTTATCATTTCACTTAAAAATAGTTGAAAAAATTTTGAATTTTAAGATGTAAAACTTTTTGCATCATTTTAAAGTATGTAATTTTACATGGCAAATACAAAATTTTAGCGAAATCAGTGGAATAGTTCTAGAGAAAAAAAGTTTTAAACATACAAATCTTTTAGAATTCAATTTCTTAGGAACTTTTAAATTAATTTCATTCAAATTCTGTATTTTGGCATACCAAGTAAAATTAGATACTTTAAAAAGAAATTAAAAAAAATTTATATCTCATAACTAAAATTTTTTTTGATAATAATTAAATAAAATAAATATTTACTAAAATGTATTTTTTTGCATTGAATTATTTTTGGATACATATCATGGATACATCATTTTGGATAAACAACATATCATGTTATTATGTTGATAAGACTTCAATACAAAATTTAATGACGTAAAATATATGACAGTAATGTCAAAAATTATTTAATCTAATCAAGCGCATAATTACAACCAAAACTATTTTAATACTGACAATTATTAAATAACGTGAGAAAGAGATAAAAATGATATTGTTTGTTTACATTTACGCACTGTCTCGAATACCAGCCTTTATTATAACCCTAAACTTTGGCGATCAGTTGAAATTGGTGAGTGCGTTGCTGGCACTATGCCCCACTACTGAAAATTGAATTTGTGCTACTCGCTACTTTTTGGGCTACTTATTATTTTTCGAACGATACAAATCTTAAATATGCGCTACTTTTTTTCCTTACAGAAATATATAAATTTTTTTTAATTTTCCCCCTTCCCATTGTAAGATGATTCTAAAAGTTTGCAGTTTCTTTCTCTTTTTCGCTTAAAAAAAAGGACATTTTTGTTGTTGTTGAAAACGCTCTCGCTTTAGCTTCGGATTCCTGATTTGTTTTGCTGATGGAGTCTATAATCTTTCCATATCTATGTTTCAAATCGTAGACTCGGGAAATCGCAAAGATATATATGAAAAAATGAATAAAATAAATTTTTTATGAATATTTATTATTTGTAGTCTTATTGTTTAAATATTAAGTTTATTTAAATTGCATTAAATGTGTTGTTATTTTCCAATTAAATTATTTCCTCAATTATTACTTAAAAATTTAGGTTTAAGACTTTCTCAAAATAGATTTTTTTTTTTAATATATATGGGTAAAAATTGATATTCATGAAGCAAATAAAAAAAAATTAATCTCTTTTGTACAGTAAAATGATTAAAAGAAAGAAAAAAGAGCAATTAAGAAATGTTATTTATATTCATTAGTAGGAGCTTGAGATAGAAATCAAATTTAAATTCCGAAAATTGGAATTCTTTTTCCTTTTTTTAAATAGTTATTATAGCTAAACTTTTTTATTTTGTGTTTGAAATAGTTTTTTTTTCAGTTGAAATTATTTCTTATAGATCTTATTTAATTGAAATTTCAAATTCTATATTTGTTCATAGACTTTGTTTTTTATAAGTTCAAACTGCAATCCTTTATGAACAAAAATGTACTAATGCTTATTTTATTGAAAATGTATTGTGTTTAAAAATAGAAAAGTTTCAGTTTTTTTTTTTTTTTTTTATTTTTTTTGCTAAATAATTTTTTTTAACTATTTTGTTGTATTTCTTACGTATTTAATATTTTTTATAATATCTTTTTGACTAAAGTTAGCAGTTTTCCATTTGTTTAAGTTAATTATTAGTAAAAAGAAACTTAATTTTGTAATTATGTAAAAATTCAATTCACAGTTTTGTATTAAAAATGCAGAATAATCATTTTAGCATAAATGTTTTCATACGTTTTTCATTGTTAAATCTATTAGCGTTAACTGCACCAATGATAGTTGAGACAAATGGAAGAATTTTCAGCAAGATGAAATTGATTAAAAACTATCTTCGAACAACCATGACTGGTGAGGGCCTAAATTCACTGCTTTTACTCAAAGCAGAAAAATATATTGTTAACAATATTAAACTTGATAAGTTGGCAGAATATTTTTCACTTTTAAAACAACATCGAATTAAATTTACGTTGCTAATATAATTAATATAACGTAACTTTGCTAATATCTTAATTTTTTTTATCCTTTTTATGTAAATTTCTTCATTTATAATTTAAATGGCAAATATTTTCAATGTTTTTTTACATTATTTTTCTTATTTTTGAAAAATGAAAAGGCAATTTATTTTTGAATGAATTTTGTTTTGTATCAATTTCTGATAGAAGACTGTATTTACTGATTATGACTTACTTTCTTATCTTCAAACAGTTGCTCTAATTAACTTATGGAGCAATGTTTAGATGAAGCAAAAAATAAATTTGAATAACTAAGTTATTTTTCAAAAAACATTTAAATATAAAGTAAAAGTATTTAAAAGTTGCATTGAAAAACATTTAAATTTACAACTTTATTTTTAAAAATTATTTCCACAAATAATTATTGATTACTAGTACTGAAAACTTATTTCAATTGAATAAGTTTAAGTTTATTTAAAAATAGTTATTTTTTTATAAATATTTTGTTACCAATGTAATAATAAATATTTATAGAAATGTTAAAACTATAATTTCTTTTTATAATTTTGAATAATTACTGGTACCATTTACTTATACATAATACCGCATTTATCACCAGTCCCGCAGTGGACTGATAGTTAAGACACGGTTCCAGCAGATCACCGAAGTCAAGCATCACTGGCTGCTGTCAGTGTGCGGGTGGGTGACCACTTGGATCAGTCTGCGTAGGGATCGAGGGTGTGCGGTATTGGTCCTCGTTAAACTGTGCTACCGTAAAGTGCTCGACTTCGCGTGCAGGTCGTTGGGCTACCGAAGCGGGGGTGCCATCCCCTCTGCAGAGGATCAAAATTGTGATGGCATGTCTTCGGATCGTCCCAGACCGTCGCCAATAGCCCATTGTGCAGCTCTAGTGTGAGTAAACAGTAGCGTAAACGCTTATGGTCAGTCAAATGCAAAACCTGTCATCAGGAAATGCATATCAATACTTTATCGACAAAAAAAACTATGATGAATTATCAAAGCGATTAATCAAAGGGAAGATTAAAGTCATCAAAACTAATTTATTTATTTGGTGAGGAGTTTAGTTAGTAACTTTAATCATTTCGAACGAGGCAGCAAATGTTTAACTTTAATCTCTTCATTATTCTCGCCATAACTGATAATGATCGTCAAAGATTGACAACTTTTTTGTTTTTCCTCACTTGAATATCACTTTGGGACATTTTAATAAGCATAAAAGTTTTACAATTAATTTTCTAAAATGTTATGAAAGCATCTTATAGTATCTTATATCTTGATTTCTGATTTTTGCTGATATATCTTCTTAAATCTTCTTTGAAATATCTTGATATCTGAAGGCTATTTTAGATTGCAAAAAAGACGCAAAAAAATTCATAGAAAACTCTTTGTTTCAAACCATACTCGAAGTAACTCCTCTTAACTAATTTTAACAAATGCATGTGCCACTAAAACGTTCTTCTTAATGAAAAAAAAATATAGATATGGGCATTTTTGTGATATTCCAATTATTATCACAAGAAATAAAATTTTAAAATTACTTTCTAAAAATTATTTCTTAAAAAAAAATCTAAGAAAAAAATGAAATAAGTTTTTTAATGTTTTTACGTTACAATGAGACAAAACAAAATGCAAATAGTAAACGAAAAATTTAAGTACAAGCTTTTAAAAGTAAGATATCTCCTGCTAATCTAAAAATATTGATAATTGAAACATTTTTTTAAATTTTATTTGGAACTTTAAGGCTGAGATTTAAAAATCATGTTGCATAAAACATAATGGAGAAACTCTTTAAGACTAACTTATCTTATCGACGATATCAGAAAGCTTTTCATGCCATCTGTTTTATTTTCCATGATTAGAATTCCAAACCAAATATGAATCCTAAAGAACGAATTTTTCAACATTAAGCTGAATAGTTTAAGAGCTAAAAATGTTGAGTATCATAATTGCTGGGCTTCTGGTATCTGCATGTGAGTTTATAGCACAATATTTATTATGCATTCTTGTACATTACATTCAAAATTTTTATAATTAACTTTCAGTTATCAATGATAACATCATTTCAAATGAACTAATAATCTAATCTTTATTTTTTTCTAATTACAAGTTTCTAAGCCTTATAAATCTTTGCGCAGCAAAACAAAATACAACGTAAAGAAAAAAGGGGAAAAAATTTGCATAAAAGCACATAAAATTGTAATAACTTTCGAGCAAAATGGAATTTTAGAAAAGATCGTAAAAAGTCTAATACGTGTTATTTCAGTGCACAACAATATCAACTCAGTAGATGCATTCCTATGGGCTGTATGTTATTTTGCGCTACAGGCTTAGCAGTTAAAAATTCGCGCACTAATTATCAAGTATTTAAATTTTTTAATCCGTAATTTCTAAGTCTTATTGTTGCTGCGTGTTACAACAAAATGTAATGAAAAATTGTAAACCCAATCAGCGTCGGCGGTGACTCTTGCGATTTTTTTAATATGCTAAGATTGCTAGCTAATTCTGTGTTGATAATGATTGAAATAAAGGTTGTAAACATACTCACTGATTTTCCAATTCAATAATTCTGAAATTCAGTGATTTACCGATTCAATAATTCAGGTAATTTACTGATATTTTTACAAAAAGAAATAGCTAATAAACCTATGTTTTTTATTGACACCTGGGCTGATTCCCCATTCACTGATTTACATACTTTCTTATCTTTTTATGTGATTTTTTTTTTACTTTACTCTCTGGTTAAATCAAGGATTATTCTTATTAAAGGTAGTCATGTTGTCTGCCATTTTTAAAAAAAAATAAAATATTAAATGATTATTACCATTTAATGTCAATAGCTTAAGTTCGCGCAATTGTCTAACTTTTTAACGTTTCTAATTTTTCTTAGCAACGTTGTGTTTACCACTTGCAAAGAGTGTTAAATGCATCCAAAAACATTCATTTTAAAATAGATCTTAATCAGAGAGAAATGTTTAATTTACAATACAAACATTGAGCAGTGCGCCAAAAAAAAGATCATCCTCAATAGCTTTTGATTTAATGATTCGATTCTCACGTTCTAGGACTCATTCTTAATGGTTCGAGGGGGGTGACCTCAAATATGATTATTTAAAACTAAATTTTAAGTTATGAAATCAGACACAAAAACGTACTTTATCTGGATAAACATACCTTTTTTTCAACGAATTGGGATTTCTGACTCCCAAAAAATAAGGGGTTGCCGTAGTCCGGAAAATATGGTCCCCATAATTTGGTCGGGAGAGCGATCTAAAGTTTGAACCCCTTGATGTTAATGCTACTTTTTTAATATTTCGTCATATCTCGAGGACTTTTTAATCGAATTGAAAAATTTTTGCACACAATTGTAAAATTCGTTTACCCAAAGATAATTCCATGCAAAAAATATTTCTTAGCAAATATTTATTTTTTATTACTCTATGCGTCGAAAAAATATAGTCGATATATATAGTCGAAAAAATATATAGTCGTATATAGTCGAAAAAATTTTGAATTGTAAGGTGTAAAATTTTTTACATAAATTTTAAGTATGTAATTTTGCATGGCCAAATACAAAATCTGAACGAAATCGGCTGAATAGTTCTTGAGAAATCGAATTTTAAAGAAACCGTTCATACAATGCATATCACTCGTTTTTATAAGTTGTATACTCATAGTATATACCAAAAACTTGATTGAGTATGTGTATCTTTTCATGTATCAGAAATTTGGTGATGTATTTGTATCTTTTCATACATCAATCGTCTCTGTACGCTGTATACTTATAATAAGTACTAGAATCTTGTTTGTCTATGTATTTTCATGTATACATCTTACATTGTACATCTTACATTTGTAACAGCACTTTGAAACTGTATAAATCATTTAAGCTAACCCTATATTTTCCAATATTTACAGCACTAAACATTTTTTCATTTTTAATCCCATTTGCATGTAATATTATTATAATTATCTCTGTAGATGGTTTTCCTCGTCCCCCAATGGAAAATCCTGATCTCTTCGAAGGAGACATAGCTGGAATAGATGGCTCTGCTGTAAGTTAAATAACAACTTGAAAAATAGTTTTCAATGAACAAAATACAACTTTTGAAACCTGAATTCTGTTTTTCGTTTTTCTTACTTATAAATGTATATAAGCTACGGTTAAAGTTATAAATCCGGTCATTATTAGTAATAACCGATCAATATTAATAATAACCCCTTCTTTTGGTCAAAGTGAGAAATATTACAAATTATTCACTTTAACGGGCTATTATTAATAATAACCAATGAAGTTTGGTCAATGTGATTAAACGGTTTATATAGCATTGGGATATGGGTGTGCCTCTTAGTATATGTGTTACGGTTAAAGTGATAAATCCAGTTATTATTAATACTCACCAGTCAAAATTAATAATTACCGATTCTTTGGTCAAAACATGAAATAAAAAGGGAAGATTTCCGTATCGTGATTTGTGACAGAATAATCGCCAAGTCTTGGCAGTTTCCGGGCAGCTGCTCGCGTGATAGTAAAAAAAAAAATCACTGAAAGGGACCAACTAGTAGCCACCCCCGGGCAAACATCAACATGCTCTTTTTTTTTTTTTTTTTTTTCCGACAGCACTGTGGTCGGTGAAAGACGGATGCGGAATTCATATTGACCAGCCATCGCTGGGATTCGAACCCGGTTCATCTCATTGGAAGGCGAACGCTCTATCCCCTGAGCCATCGCGGCTTTGAGAAACCTTTTGTAATAATTATTCAAATATATAATAATTAATGTAATAATAAATGTAATAATTACTCAATGTATAGTCAGCAAGATTTAGAAGCTTTTACAGTTGTTTTCCTGCATAACATCGAATACGCGTCTTTTTAACCCTCTTTACTTTTCAATGCCATTTTCTATGATAAATTTTAACACTCTTGAGGTTTCCCTCCCCCCTTTGAACTTCTCTACCACAGAATTTTGTTCTATTAAAAATAACATAATTACATACATAATATAATTATAATATTGTTGTACACATTAGTAATTTTGGTTTAAAATGAATTTTTTTAATGTAATTTTTTAAGGATCGAAATGCTATAGTATCAGAAATAAAAAAATGGCCGGAAGGAATTATACCATACAAGATTGACAAAGGTCTAGGTAAGTATTTTAAAAATGTATAGAAATTAAATTGGCAATAATTATGCAAAAAAAAAAAATTCTAAGTTCTTAATAAAAAAAAATTATAGTAAAAGCTTAGAAGGACTTAAAAATCGAGTTTATAAAAATGAATGATAATAATACAAACAAGTGCGCATAGTTTATTTAGTAATAGACTTAAAGTGTAATTTTTGAAAAAATTTTGTTTCTAAATGTGATTGATAGAAATTAATGTTTAGTTTTGTAATCAAAATAAATTTTATATTTCGAAAAAGATAAATCATATTCTATAATTGAAACCTTTTGAGACATTTGATATAAAATATTTGTCGACTATTAATAAAAAATAATTTGAATTATGGTTTTTAAAAGAACTGTTAAAAACGTCGAGAGAAATTATTAAAAAAAAGGAATTCTTTATTCTTGAATTAAGTTATTTTATTTTAAATGGAAAAGTTCGATGAGAAATACTAATTAATTTGTTTTAAAAATGCCTATTCACTTTTCATAAATTGTTCAATAGATTACTATTAAAAAAATTACAATTTTACTACTTTTCCATTGGCATTTTACAAATAAGTAACTAAATAAGTTTACATAAACAACCGAAATATTAATAAAATTATGGATCATTGATTAGATACGAATATAATTATTATTCCTTAAATAAAAATTTGGAGCGCTGTAATCCTTTCTCGGAACTCTAAGGTTCCTTGGAACACCTTTAAGGTACAGACAATCGACAGCATTCATTTTTTTTTTTTTTTTTTTTTTTTTTTTTAATAACGGCGGGCATTAAACTTCCGTTCTTCGCCAAAGAAAATACCGAAAGAGTTACTCATTTATCGTTACCCGGTGGGTACCTTTGAACCAAAGACGAGCACTGCCACCGAAACCCGTTCATACGGTGGATCACATTCACATATCACAGGACAACATACAGAGAAACATTCATGCCCTGAGCGGGACTCGAACCCACAGCCAGGCATGCTAACCACTCGGCCATCTGGCTGGGGTTTCAAAGCTTAACCCAACCTCCTTGTTTGATGTCATTACAAAGTTTCAATCGTTTCCTTGCTGTTTTAAGCAGAATTAATTTCTATTTTTCGCCTAATAAATTTGTAGTCAATCAAATTTCTCCTCCTATCTCGATTAAATAAGGTACTCAATTCTCATTTAAAGCTCAGTGCCTGGTAATAATATAAGTTTTAAATCCTTTCCTAACCACTACAAGCAGAATTTATTGCAATATTATCCTCAAAGCGCTTAAAGATAATGGAGTACCTTATTATCGCCAATCCAAATTTTGTCCATTTTTTGACTAGCTAGAGCGCTTAACATTTACTTCGTGCTCTGCGCTGAAGGACAATATAAGTTTCAATCATTTCTTAAATTAAGCAGGCATATTTTATATCCCTTTTATCATCAATTGAAATTTTAACCATTTACCTACTCTAACACAAACACTAAAAAGGAAAAGTTAAAATAAAAGTTTTAAAAATTATGATTTTCATGATGATAAAAAAAGAATAAAATAATTGCCTTTTCATCAGAATTTACATGAACTTCAATCTACGTTGAGAAATAGATCCAAATAATTCCATCACAGGTATGTAAGCGTTTTTTAGTTTAGAACTAAAAAGTTTTAATTTTTTTTTATTCGCTATGATTTGGTATTTGTAAATGTATTTTAATTTGTACAAGAAGGGCTAAGATTATCTACAGGGATTCAAATGTATAAAATATCTTCCAAATGGCATAAAATGTCAGCAGTTTCATAAAATATTTCTGCTAGTGATAGTTAAGTCAATGTCGTAATATTTTAATAAATTAAAATTTTTTATAATAGAATATTTTAATAAATTAGAATAATTCAAACAACTTTATCACACTCTTCTTATAAATAATTTTAACATATACTTATAATATATGCCTATAAATATAATATACTTATAGTATAGATACGTATACACATAAGTACTGTATTAGATACTTATAAATAATCTAACTCATAAGCAATAAACTAAAAGAACAGTTTAACTTCTGATAAAAAGAAAATTATTTGATGAAAAATAAATTCTGCTTTAGGTCACTACTACTGGAAAAACTATTTCACGAAACCTTCAAATGTTGGAGGGCTTATTTTTTCTAATATAACGATATCTTCAAATCTGAAGATAGTTATAAAATAGTGATATTTCCAAACTGACAAAAAAATATTCATCAAAATTTTTGAAGTTTGAAACTAAGCACAAATATTGTCTTTGGCAAATTTTTTCTAGTTCTATCATGACAAGAATGCGGATAAAAATATGATTACAATATAAAATTAATTTTCGGCAGATCACTTAAAGACGGAAATTCTCAAAGCGATGAATCACATCATGGAAAAAACATGCATTAAGTTTGTGCAGAAAGAAAGCGAGAAATCTTATATCAGGATATTTTCAGGAGATGGGTAAGTTTCATTTTTATAAAATTTAAGTTCAAGCCAAGTAAGTTGACTAATTGACGTGCATGTTTTTAATGGTCACCTTACACAGGTGGTTAACTTGTGTAATGGGGGAAGATGAGTCATTGCTTCTTTTTCATCATTTGTATATTACGTTATTATTATGGACACCATGTTATTCCTAAGTATTTCCTTAATGTTACTCATCAAAATAAAGATAAATGTAATTAAATTTTTAACTTAAACATTTTATTTTGTAACCGTCGTTGAACAGCCGACCCAAATTTGAGTCTGCGACTACTAATGTTCAACTCCGTAGCCTCGTAATTTTGAACCCAATCCAGAAGACAAGGAAAATCCTGGATTAGGAGAATTTTACCTTCGTGGAGGACTTCTTGATGGGACTAACTGGCATTTACGTTGCATCGAGAGGAAAACCACGAAAACCACCCCTAACTTAGCCTGACGGCAAGGGGAATCTAACCCATGATCTGGCTACCACTAAGGATATTTTACGTCAGCACTGTGCATTTCAAATTATTAGTTCAGCTTCTAAAATTTTACCAAAATATAGTTTTTTTATAATTTTATATACTTTAATTTGAGGTTTACTTTAATAACAATTATTTAAAAAGTCTCATATTTTAATCAGATGTGAAACACAAGGAATCAGAATTTTTGAAGAAAAAAAACGGGAACAATGGGTAAAAAAATTTTATTTATGAATACATATATATTTTGAAGCATTTCTATATAGATGGAGATTACATTAGTCTTCAAAAGTTAAGCAACAAACACATTTTCACCGAGATATTCAAGAAATAATGAACGAAATCAAGTTAAATTTAAGGTGAAAAAAACAAAACAAATTATGATAAAAACAATGATCACGAAAAAAAGAACGGCATAAACTCAAGATCATGAAATATTATTCGTCGCAACAAGGTGTTCCGAAAACGATTCAGCAACTAGCAACTGAGTTTTCCGTCACTTGAACCTCAGCGTTAGTTAACTGCTTACAGAAGAGTTATTTTTTATAGAGGATTTAATGAGCTTTAAGCCAGAAAAAAGTGTTTAACAACGAATAAATTTTCACCTAGGACTCAACGAATAATGAACGAAATCCAGTGAAATTTTAAGACTCGATGAATAATGAACGAAATCCAGTGAAATTTTGAGTGAAAATACATCAAATTATGATTAAAAAAACAATGATCACAAAACAGGGATGCTATAAACTCAAGATCATGAATTAATAAGTATCACAACAAGATGGTTCAAAAACGATGTAAAAACAAGTAAATGAACTTCCCTTTACAAGTAACTCGTTTTTTTTTTTTTCAAACTGTTTACAGAACGTTTAATGAGACATGTCTTTAAGCCAGAAGACCAATGGTTTGTATTCCACTCCAAGTCAGAGGATAAACCATCTGAGCTGGTGCAGTGAACATGGACCTTGAGCATGGACTCTCTGACACGTGATCACATGGCACCATGGAAAATCCCTTCAGCATCTTGGAAGCTGACCATTACGAAGGTTGAAATGTCATGATCTGGGACACTATGATAATGTACCGCTGCGCAGATCTGCACACCTTTCAGAAATATACCCTGACTTCTTTGGGGTTCAGAATTGAGCACTTAGAATCCTGTGTAAAATTATTCCGTGCCATAGTTGGTCTCCTATACATTTCTTGTAAATGACAACACGCTTTTCCCCTAGACTGGCTCGTAAAAGAATTACTAAAAGTTAACTACGGTTTGAAGAGAAAGCCAGCAAGATCTCCAAGCTTGAATCCCAAAGGTAATTTAAATTCGACTTAGAAACTTCCCGGAGCTAAGAACTACCTTAATGAATGAGATTTGTTTTCTAAAGACCCTTATTAACAACGTCCTTAGAGATAGGTGTGAGATCCGCAATGCCTTCATACCCTAACACCTATTTTGCTGTATTATTTTTGAACCATCTTGCTAAGATGCCTATTAATTCACATCTTGAATTCAGAATTATCTTTTTTTAATCATCATTTTTGTCATATTTTGATATCTTTCATGTTAAATATCACTTGTTTTGGTTCACTATTTCTTAAGCTCTCTGCGAAAATGTCTTCGTTTCATAACTTTTGAACACGAGTGTAATCAGATAGTTTCATCAAATTAAACCAGACCATTCATCTTATTCAGGTGCTATTCTCATTGGGGAAGAACAGGTAAGATGCAGCCAGTGTCATTGGGTGCTGGGTGTGAAGACATTGGAACAATCATTCACGAATTAACTCATGCTATTGGATTCGATCACGAACAAAACAGATCGGACAGAGATGATTACCTGCTCATATTTTGGCAGAACATTGATCCAGGTAATTATTTTATTTGCTTCGAATGTGTTACAAAGATAACATCTATTCCATCGAAGATAAGGGTAATAAATTAAGAGAAAGTAAGCTTTTTCTCGGATTCTTATCATCTTAGCTTATTGGAAGTGTATTTCTAGATCTATAAAAAATTTATATCTTAGTATGTGACAATTCTTTGATTATATCAAAATAGTAGGACTTGGTTCAATAATATGGTGAGTCCAGATTCACAAATTGTGATGAAAGTAAAATGAAATTAGAAAAGACACGTTTATTTAGTTCTCTATCTATGAACCATTCAGACACTCTTATTTCATATTAGTGACCAGATCTTGCATTAATCAGAACATAAGTTGACCATAAACAAAATCCCATTAAAAAAAATTGGATTTAATTCATTCTTGCAGCTTTCCTCAATTGCGATTTTTTAACGGACTGTACCCAAAATAAAATACAATAAGTGCAAAAACAAACTTGTTTTTGTTTAAAAACTTTGTTTACATTGATAAAAACAATTTTAAAAAACTATAAAACTTGGTTTAAAAAAATTAATTTCATCTAAAACTTCAATTTATATCGACGATGCGTGCACTAAAAATTCACTATACACTGTAAAACATTTCAGAAACTAATTTTGACTAGTCAAAAATGTTTCAGAAATTCTCAGAGAGCTTCATTCAATAGCATGTTTCCGAGCAATTGAGAAACATTTCTTTTATTTTCAGAAGTACGAAACTGAATCGCATTAACGCCGATTCAGTTGCAGGATGTAACGTAACTACCACGAAAACAATTAAATTCTAATTCATTAGTATATAAAACATGTTAACTCTATTATATTGGGTGGTAGTACCTGTTGATAGATGAAGGTTAACATTGGTGGTAGCCTAGGTACAGGAAAGGTTTCCAAAATTATAAAGAATATCCTAAACAACAAGAAGTTATTCAAAATATTTCTGAAGTATTGTGAATTGTTTCTGAATATTACAGTAACGGGTTTCTGAAAAATTCAAAAACGTGTTTGAAAACTACATGCACAGTCAAGATTAAACGTAAAACGTATCATAATTACTTGTAATCGTATACCATTATAACCAAGTATTAGTAATAGTTGAATTTACGATTACAATCTTATATATTCCTTATAATCACGGTTAAAAATGTAATCGTTAATTATGATTTCGTGTAATCACGATCAGAAGTAATTAATGCTTGCAATCATTCACATTTAGCCTATGGCTGGTACAAGTTAAAAATGCTATTTTTATTTAATTTTAGTAAAAGTCACATAAGTTGGTAGAATTTTAAATATGATTTTAATCTACGAACAGGTTACATTTAATTGCAAAACTTTCAAATTGTGCTTTTGATAATGCGGACATTATATAAAAGTTTTATCAGATTTAATGATAACATCTTCTGTTCGATACTCCAAGTTTTAAAAGAAAATTATAGTTAACATAATGTTTTTAGTAAACATTTTTTTTTCTTCCTATTTCTTCGAAACAACAGTTAGTAAGTAAACTAAATTAAACAACATTTTATTTGTTTCAGCGGAATATCCTCAGTTCGAAAAGTTAAAGCCTGAACAAAACAGACTCTTCAACAAATTCGATTACGATTCTATAATGCTTTATGGCGAAAAAGCTTTCTCCAGAGATGGTCGATCCAAAACCATGAAAGCCAAAAAGAAAGGCATTAAAATTCTTGACTCGCCAGAGAAAGGAAAACTGAGCGAAAGTGATGCTTTTAGAATCAACGCACTCTATGAATGCAACAAATCATGAAGAGTATTGTGACATTTTAATCAGTTTTAGAGAAAATTAAAGCTCAGTTCATTAATAAAAAACAATCTTAACATCAAAAGATATCAGACATAAAAACTGCAATAAAGCTTTAATATACGTAATGATTTTTGTGTTTAAATGTTTCATTATTCAGAGCCCACGTTAAGTATTCGCCAACACGCCAAATGCGATAAAATTGAAAATTCGGAGAGTGTTTTAATTAACCATTTGTGTCTTAATGAAAGATTTTTCCACTTGATCTGGAGAAAAAAATCTGGTCAAATTATATTAAATCTAGAAAATGTAAGCAAGCAACAAGAGATTATGTAAGCATAAGACAAACTACTCTAACATAGAGATTATGATCGCACGTAGCCAGGTCACGTGATATGGGATACCTGCAAGCAGAGACTGATTTACAGGAGGGCATTCGGGGCACGTGCCCGGGGCCCCCAACATTTGAGGGGCCCCCTTTCCCAATAAATGATCTTTTACATTACATGGCCAATACAAAACCTTGTGTAGAAGATCCCTTTGAAAGAAATTTTCGAATGTTGATGATTACTTTTATCAGACTTCAATTACTTTTATCAGATTTCGGTACAAATATCTTGTTTCCTTCATAATTTTTAACATTCTAGCCAAAACCTCTAGATATATTTATAACATTTTTGTATTTTTTTTAACAATTTCACTAAATTAAATTCTGAATATCTGGGGGACGTACTTCTAAATAAGGTTTCATGTTACTTGCAATTTTTATGGTCTGAAAAATACTTTTTCAATATTAAGTTTAAGACCTTGCATGTTAACTAAAATTTATCGGCTCTTTAACTGGGGCCCCCAAATTCATCTGTGCCCGGGGCCCCCAAATCTGTAAGTCGGTCCCTGCCTGCAAGTGACGTAGTGTGGGTATCTCAATCCTGATTGGTTATTGAAACGTGGCATTTGTTTACGCTAGCAACTGTTCTTTTTATTCTACTTTGAGGAAGCCAAGTCTGTCAAATACCAATTCTCTTAAGTAACGCAGCCTATAATCTTTCACAAATATTTCAATTCTACACAAAGACAGACACGAAGCCATGTAGAACACAAACAAACTTATAATGCATCGAAGTTGCCAGGTACACAAAACAAAAATATATAACAGTTACAATTAATTCGGATCATCCTCAGGGATGTTTCCCAGACCGTCGCCAATAGCCCATTGTGCAGCTCTAGTGCGACGTAAATCAACAACAACAACAACATGAACAAATAATAAATTAAAGTTAAGTAAAAGAAGTAGACTAGAAAGAATTATATTTCACCAAATTTGATTTGCTATACGGCTCTCTATTTAATTAACTCAACGTTAATTAATATTTTAAGTTATGTAGAGAGACTTAGCTCAACTTTAATACTCCATATTGCTGATAAAGATTAGCTGGTGCTGACGTCATAGATCACATGCATGGATATTGGTTGTTGTGGTGACCTGCCTACTACAACTCAACGCTGCCAGTCTCGTATCCCATACAACGAGGAACACAAAAAAAGAAAACTAATGTTTTCTTTCTGCTGTTTTTAATATGTACGTTATTGTTATTATTCAAAGCTGTTAATATATTATATTTTATAATAAGAAGCGAGTCCACTTATTTCTCACAAAAAGTATTCCTCCACAGTGGTCTTCTTCTTGGAGTGCAAGTACACAATTCTTTTCCACAGTTTGTGTCATTAAAACAGTGGTAGCAAGGCGCACATTATCATCCAACTATTTTGGCAGAAAATAATATGTTTTTTCGTGACAATAACATGCTGCTTCAAGTTCATCTTTATATTACTGCTCTAGTCTAACATGAACTTCAAACCAATTCTTCTTATTCTCAACCTATTCTTATATTATTCTTGATTTGAATTTACATTTTTTTAAATAATTTATTTCATAGTAAATTTGTAATTTGATCTGGAATTTTCTACGGGAAAAATACAATCATAAAAAGTTGTTAAGATTTACTTTTGGCTAAGAATTTTGAAATTTGGCTAATACTTTTGATATTTGGCTAATTTACTGATTAATAATTTGAAGTCGTTAGCGCATGATTACAGTTATTATTTATGTTAGATGTGAAAAAAATTATTGTGAAGCAAAGGCAATCAAAAAGAAAGAAAAGAAATTGTGTTTAAGAAATTCTTCTGTGGGTTGGCATCACTTGTTCTACTATAATTAAAATATAAGCTAATAGTGCATTAGAGAAAAAAACAACTTCAATAAAGCGCAAATATAAGTACACAAATGGGCATACTATAGCTTCAGTTCTATAAACAAGAACCCTCCTCCTGGTTAAGCTTTTCTCCCATCCCCCCCCCCCCCNCCCCCCCCCGTTTACCGTGCTTCTAAAATTTGTTCAAATAGTTATCTCCTCAATGAAGAGCTGCATTACCTTAAAGCTGTCACTGTAGACCGCAGTTTTCCATCTAATATTATTAATTCCGCCTGTATTTACCCATATGCAATCACTTTACCCATGTTCTTGTCTCCTTATTACTATTCGACCTTCATTTGATAATTAGACACTGAGGAAGGTACTTGCTTATTGAACTGAAATTATAGTATGTTCATTTATTTACTTTCATTTATGCTTTGTTCACGTTTTTTGCCTTAGTCTACATGGCGCAAAGTATACCCTATCATTTGTTGGATAATAGTGCATTATTTATTTATTATCAGAATTTGATACAAAAGCTATCTTCAGAAAACTGAGAAAAAAAGGTTTAATGAAACCAAAAATTGAAATTTACTAGTAAGGGAAATAGGATAAAAATGAAAAATATCAAGATGTACTCAGTAAGCAACATACATGCACACAGATTACGCAAGAGAAATAGCTCTTTGTTATAATTGGCCCTTGCTTCTCAAGGAGAGCTAAAAGCTATGATAGATCGTTCAGCAAAATATTTCTAACAGTGAATGACCATTCAAAATATAAATTTTTTTTAAAGCAAGTGAATCGGAGGCGTTCGTGATAAATTACTAATAAGTTATAAACATTTTTTTATCAATATAGAAAATTGTTAAGGTGACTTAAAAAATAAATCGCCATTTATTTACTTTTTATTTATTTATTGAGAAACACAACATTAAAAATATTTCAATATTGTACAACTAGTATTTCTTGTCATTCAACATTTGTAAATGGCGACAGTGCTTCTGAATATCTACATGCTAAATAAATCACACATTTTTTATTTAAAAAATTTATTAAGATACATAAAGCATTGGGTTTCCATTTTTTTACAACTTTTGCTAAACATATAAATGCATCAACTTTTTTAAAAAATTCATAGTTCTCTCGCGTTTTTTCTGATGCATAGAGCATCCATTATTAAATTTTCTTCAATTTCAAGTTAACATACAAAAAACGACATTAAAAAAATATATAAGATACAAGAAAAGCGTCATATTCAAAATTATCTGTAGCAAAAATTAGAAAAAGGAAGGAAAAAAAATAATAGAAAACCTTCTAACTGGACAGGAAAAAAAAACAAATATGCTTGAAAAAATATTAACTTTTAATGAATCGTCAAAATTCCTTAAAAAAATAATTGGTAAGCACTTTGTAAAGAATCATGTCGAAAAATTTTATCGAGCGCATAATTATACAAGCAATTCCACCTCTTCCAACTCCATTAACAAATAACCACGAGTTTCTTTAACCATTTCGGAATATTTCGATTTCCCATTTTTAATATCATCAACGAATGAAAGAAAGGCCAAAATGCTCAAAACAACATTGATTGTCCGAAATATGCCTCGTTCGGTCAAATCTACGCAGCGTATCAAGGACCGGCTATCAGCCGAAGCAAAGAAGGTTAAAAAAACCATTTTCTGCACTGCCGCCTTTCCCACAATACGAACGCTCATTTTACATAAATCAAATAAAATTGGATTGTTTTTGAAAGAATTACAAATTCTCAATGTGGCTGATCGTACTGCAGGACTATCGCAAAACTCTTTAAGTAACAGTTGCACTACATATAATTGCTAACCCGCATTACATATAATTGCTTCTAAATTCTTATCACTCAAATTTGGTAAGCGGTTATTTGCAACAAGGGCTGATGAGTAAGATCGTACATTATTCCAAGTTTTACCACCTTTTGAATAAATAACTGCAACTTCACGAATAACTGTTAAAGCGTCGCTGATATTTGTAACGCCGCAACCAAATACTTCTCGAAGATGAGCGTCCAATTCTTTGGTTCTATCAAACCAATCCAGAAGCTCTTCAGTTTGTCGACTATCCTCTTCCAATATTGCTTTTAATTCTTTTAATGTCTGACCATTGAATCCACATTCCACAAGAGACACAGTTAAGGTCGTAGCCCCTCCTAAATAAAAAAAAGCATAAAATTATGTATACTATAAATAATTGAAAACATGAAACTTTCGTCGAAATAACATTCTAAGAATACAAATATGTGTGTGGGTGGAGGAGAGGAACAATGAAGAGCATAAAAAATAGCAATAGTAATAAATCAAATATAAAATAGTAATCTTTTTACTATTCTGTGAATAAAAAACTTAAATATTTAAAGAATTTAGTCTTATCGAAAAAAAAGTTCGAAAATCAAATAAAACTCAACACAAATTTGAGTAATAAGGTAAAATAATATTGTTACTTTTCATTGAACATATAAAAACTATAAAAAGATATTATCATACCTTTTGTTCCCAACCGTACGGAAATAAAAGAAAGGATAGAAGAAAAAACATGTTTAAGTTTCTACGATTATAAATTTAACAGAAGAGAATATGTTTACTATTCTTAGCTTCCTTTTTTACGTGAAGCTTATGAAGTCTTTTGAAAAATTGCACTTACTATTTTCGTTTGCTATACGAGTAGTAACGCGAATATAAAGTCTAAAATAGGATTCTATCACAAGACTTCAATTCTTGAAAAAAATTTAGCGTAGATCAGCGAGGAAAAAAAACTATGCTCTTTTCAAATATTTTTGATCTATTTCGTTAGCATAGCTACTGGTACTTAAAAACCAATAAACTAGCATAGCTACTGGTACTTAAACCAATAAACGTCACCCATCCAAAAATATCATACTCGTGTGCGGTATTTTAAATTTT